AAATGGGGTATACGCTAAGAATGGCGTAATTTTAAGGAAGGGGCCCGTCTAGCACACTGGAAAAAAAACAAAAAAAAAAACACATTGGATCTAGAGTCAAGACAAAGACAAGAAAAATACTCTTGGTTCAATCAGACTTAAGCTTAAATCAAAAGGAAATCCGCTCAAATTAGGAGGCTTGGTTCTTGATTTAAGCAAAAATCCGATTGAATCAAGAGTATTTTTTCTTGTCGATGTTTTTCTGGACTCAAGATCCAATGTGTTTTTTTTTCCAGTGCAAAGGAAGACGGTTGGATATGGCAAAGGAGGGGGGGGGGGGGGGTGGAGCCATTGAAAAAAATGGGTGACGCAATCTATGGACAGCCCTGTAAGAATTGTGACTTTTTTCCCTCCAGGTCTGAGCGGGGTTTCCCTGCTGGGAGCGGCGGCCTACGAGCACGTGTTCACGAGCATCGACGCGGACGAGCGGCTCCACACGTGGATCCCGATCGGGTGCATCCTCACCAACGTGCTCGTCTGCACCATCACCGTCCAGCCGCTCCCGTGGCTGATGACCAGGGAGCTGTTCCCGCTCCCGGTGCGCGGGATCATGTGCGGCCTGACCTATTTCATCGGCACCGTCCTCGTCTTCCTCTCGGTCAAGTACTTCATGAGCGTCATGGGCCTCTTCGGCATCCCCGGCGCCCTCTCCTTCTTCTCCGCCTCCTCCTTCCTCGTCTGCCTCTTCGGCATCTTCGTCCTCCCCGATACGAACAACAAGAACCGCTCCGAGATCGAGAGGAACTTCACCAAGGCCAAACCGCGGGTCGAGGAGCAACCTCTCATCGGGAAAGGTGTCGGGAACGTTATGCCTACGTTACTTGTATAGGCCCAGCGGGCCGATTATTGAAATTGATCGACAAAACTATAGACAAAGAAGACATAGAGAGTAAGAAGCGATCCTATAGGTGGAAACGGGTGGCTCTTATAGACCAAGGGAGAAAATGATGGACTAATTATCGGGTCTCTCGTGGGTTGCCGTTAGTTAGTCTATCACCCACGTCCTTTGTCCATTGCAACCACCCGCTTCCACCAATAGGATCCCTCCATATCCTTTCTGTCTTCTTTGTCTATTGCTTTGTCTATCAATTTCAATAATCACCCCGCTGACTAGGATAGGCTCACTGGAAAAAAAAAAACACATTGGATCTACAGTCCATACTCTTAAAAACATCGTAAAGAAAAAATACTCTTGATTCAATCAGATTTAAGCTTAAATCAAGAACCAAGCCTCTTAATTTGAGCGGATTTCCTTTTGATTTATGCAAAAATCTGATTGAATCAAGAGTATTTTCTTGTCGATGTTTTCAAGACTCTGGACTCTAGATCCAATGTGTTTTTTTTCCAGTGTTGCGGACTGAATGTTGAAATTGATAGACAAAGCGATAGACAAAGAAGACACAGGGAGTTTGTAGCGATCCTATTGGTTGAAATGGGTGGTTCCTACAGGGTTTCGGTTAGTTAGTCTATTACCTACTTCCTATGTCCATTGAAACCACTCGCTTCCACTAACAGGATCCCTTCATAGTTTTTTTGTCTTCTTGGTCTATAAGTTTGTCTATCAACTTCAACAATCGACCCACTGCTCTCACTAGGTAAGCAGTACAGGGTGGCCTTTAAACTGAGCTTTTACACATTTTTAATGATAGTACCCTGGAAAGGGTGCCTTTTAGTGTGTAGAGAAAGACAAAAAAGAGTCATAGAACGCGATGCACGGGTTTCAATTTTGGCAGATCGTATTTTCGTCCTACTTTGAGTGTAAAAAAATCGTGATTTCAAAAATTTTAATAAAATTCTGTCAACGCCGCTTGAAAGCACACAAAAATTTGAGATGATTTTGAGGATACTTTATATTATATTTTCAACGATAATTTCAGATGTCTACATGAATTTCATCATGCCTACAATAAATTCTGCTCCTCCTCAAGCACTTTTTGTAAATACAATTGAAAGCTAGTTTAAGTTTGTAAAAATTTAAATCCCACCGATTCGTAAATAGTGAAATTGTGCCATTTTTATTTTAACAATGTCGTTTGAGAGAACAAAAGACTTCAGTTATTATTGCTCAGCACAGCCCTAGTCTATATCTAAACTAATTGCAACAGTGTGCGTGTATAGTACATATATATTTATGCTATATGGATAGTAATTTTTCAGAGGTGCCTTTTGAAAGCTCGTATGTAAATATATAACGTTTTAAACATTAAATATGTAATTTGCTCACGTTCCAAAATATAGGTATATTTTTTCAATTAAATAGTTGCTTTATCGATTAAAACAGTCGGAAACTTTAACTAGTGAACCATTCACAATTTTCTGAAAATTCTGCAAGCTCTTTTACTCTGGCGAGTCTCATAAATGTATTTTTCTTCTCTATCTCTCCTTCCATCCCCCTTTCCTCTCTCCTTCCCTCGCTCCCCCTCTCTTTTACCTTTACGATGATTATACATTTATCATGATGAATGTTTGCATGTAAGCTTGGATTTTATGTTAACAAAGTGATAATAAATGTTTGTTTTTATAAATGTGCAAATTTTCATTCAAAATTAAGTATCATTATACTTTCTTGTGAAAATCAATTGAACGCTATCTTCATTAAATTTTTACATGAATTCTTATACTGAAATGAGCTCTCCACAGCAGACAATAGCTTACACTGAAACACGTTTTCCACAGTTCAGTCGACGTCATATTATTTTCTTGATGAATCAAATGAGAAACAGCCTAATTCTATTTGAAGTTGCCATATTTTTTCCCATGTTAAATTTATTTTCTTACAGAGGAACAGATCATTTGAAATATAACTCCTGAAAATATTTCTTAGAAGTCCCCAAGAGTATAAAAATATACTTATTCCCAAATTTTAAGGCAGATCTTTGCTTAGTTTCTTATCGTAAATAATACAAAAAAATAGAGAAAAGGAATTCGCATTGGATGTAGTTAGGCCGACTCTGATCAATACTGTTCAAATAAAAAAATGTTTTGCGAAAAAAAAATACTGATCCTCATCATTGCCATTGATCATCTGAAAAATGCAATCTTGACTTGAGCATATTTTAAGCATGCGGTCAAAACTGCAACAATATCAAAAGAAAACCGGCAAGTAATGCTAACAATAAGCTTGGAGGCTCCTTCTTAATTTTCCGCCGTATTGGTAAGGCGCAACGATACAACTATTCGTACCCTCCGGAATGCGTGAGGTATCACGCAGCAATTGAAGGCGTTTTCAAAACTGCCAAGTCTCGATATCGGGATTGTCGCATACCATAAGGCCCGAGGCACAAGGTTAATGGAATGACTGATCTTACGAGCTAATGTAATAGTTCTGAGCATGCATCTTTGTTTCAATTTTTTATTTATGTGTGCACACTTTCCACCTCTTTTTCCAAGTGTTTGCGGGTGTTGAAAATAATTACAGGCATAGATGCATGTGCTTTCATGTCTTTGAAATACCTCGCTTGAGTAATAATCACTCGTTATTAGTATTGTTTATTTCTATTATTATATCTAAGAATTTTTTTATTAAGGACTCAGCTACTAGATCAATGACGCACGTAAATGGTTTACATTTAATTGCAATGAAGAAAGATCGAGATTGGGCGAGAAAATTCGCTCGCAAATTACTCTCAAAGATCTCAAAAAATGAACAAGCCGCGTTTTGAGAGATTAGATAATAATGCTTGTCCCCACTCAGGTAAGTACTTAACGTCAGTGGCACGTATTGCAAGTAGGCATTACGGTGGACACCTTCTTTTCAATTACCGGCATCTCCCTGCTCTATCTTAAAGCCCGGAAGATCGCGTGTGTCTGTATTGAAATTTAGTCCTCAAGGAGTATGTGAATCTTGCATTGTGATAATTTTGTTTTGTGTGCGTGGACATTGAGTTTTGATATCATAGTCCCGCCGTAGGCCTGCTTATTAAAACGGTTTAACATTGGGAAAATGGTTGTTGCCACAGGCGATTTCGTATCGACGAGTCGTGACAGTTTCATTAGACCGGTAAGTTGATCGTTTGATTATAGCGCATCTAAACTTGCGTCACGTCTTGATAAATGATAACAGTACTTAGATTGTCTGTGTCGCGAAATAAATATGATTTAAAGTTATATCATCGCTTCTTTGACTCAAACACAGATAAAGTATGACGGAAGTTTCAGGTGACTAAGCCGCGTATCATCAGTATTTTATTAAATTAAATGAAAAGAGGGTATTTATTTCGGAGGTATATATTTCAAAAGAAACCCAACGCAAAAAAGTAAACTAGCTAAGTGAAAGATGCAATGGAGGTCTTTTTGAATTTTCAATTGGATGGTACCTAATAAAAATAAAAATTTTTAATAAATGTTTGCTTCCATTAATGATTTTCATAAAACATTTAAACATGAGCATGTTTTCTTTGCACATTGCGGGTGAAAGTTCAAAAACGTATCTTGATTCCTGTGTTCCCAATTGGGAGTGTTGCCAGTTTCGATTTTAGCGATTTCAAAAGTTCAAAAGAAATCAGCTGAAAAACAGTACACTTATCGTATAAAACGCCTTCACATTTGTGATCCTGTGAACATTAATGCAAGGAAAATATGAAGGGTTACCGTAATTGAAATCTTGGATCACAAAATGTCTCTCCTGTTACGTAATCTTCAAGATCATTTTTTTTCGGTGGTTAGGAGCGACCGCGGATGGTTTTTGGTAAACAGTTTTCAATGATGATAATTTCCCAGATATTTTAGCATGAATCTATGCAACGTAAAAAATGAGACAATTTTCTCCAATAATTTTATTTTTTAAATTGATATATCCACAACAATTGAAAACTCGAAAAACTGGCAACGTCGCTGTTCTCGCTATCGAGAAATCATACTTGCTTACCTCATTTTTTCAAAAACAAAGTGGACCAATATTATTTTCTGATATTTTAAATTAATTAAAACAAAACATTTGAAATATTCTAATTTTAAGTATTATCTTTTGACAAATATTTGCTATTTTCTTATTATAGCTTTTAGCGTCCGTGCCTGTTTTTTGGCTGCAACTTTTGACTGGCTCCATAGAGGGTCACTCGGCTGTGCTTTTACCACAACTGGAGGAGAGCGAGAAGTTCTACATATCTTTGGAGGAAGAATCATGGATTGGTGAGAATATTACAAATGCTATTTAAATTAGCCCTGAAAGATGAAATGACTGAAGCAATAATACAAAATAAGTAAGGCAAAAAAGGTACCCAAATGATAATGTTAAAAAAATTACAAAAGAGGAGGGCTCCAGTAATCATTTTATTAGGGATGAAATTTTTGTGAATGGATGTAAGCGGTACACAACAATATATTAATTTCTTCTTATTTCTTATTGATATGTTTCAAAAGCATTCATGCGTTAGAATAAATGGAGTGCACATAAGAATACGTGTGATTTATGAATTAAAAACTTTCTCACACCAATACTTAAATTTCTAAACCATATCCTGATAGCGCCCGATTGCTTAAAATGGCGCTGAAGCGTAAGACAATGCAGCACGTGTGTAAAAGGATGCCATGCCATTTAACTTTTTTCATGGCATGAGGTGGTTGCTCTTGCAAATCTGAGTTGAATTGATGCTGGATGAGAAGATTTTCATTACATAATATCTGGACTTAATAGTCATCTTTCAAAACCATAAAATAAAGTGCAAAATACAAACATTCTCCAATTTTGGATGGATTTTGACGTGCATATGCCTATTGTACATCAGAAACAGCATATCAACTCTATTTTACAATTTTAAATGGTTATTCTTTGCATGAAAAATTCAAAACTGAACACGTAACCTCCTTTACAGAGAAGCTAGTTGCTTGAGGCTCCTTAATATTCACCCTGATTGCTCATTAACCAATCGGTTTTTTTAGCGAAAGGCACAGCTGATTTCTGTAGATCTTTTGTGGCGATAGACTCGCTTCATGCAGCATTGGGCATTGAGCGTTATAATAACCTGCATTCTTATTTTTGAAATGTATTGCTAGAAAAATTATTCTGAATATAAAAGTGCGCCATTGAAAAGTACTCGCCCTGAAAGCATCCAATTTTGAAAAGCGTCTAATTTGACTTTTTTACTGATTCATCTATGATTTTTTTATTGCAACAGCAAGTTTAGGAATCATGGCAACACCCCTTGTTGCGGTACTGTCTGGTCCCATGGTTGAGAGATACGGTAGGAAGTTCATATTCTACATATTTTACATTCTTTGCACTCTTGGATTTTCTTTCATTGGCCTCGCGCAAAGGGTTGAACACATATACATTGGCAGAATTCTCGGCGCTGGTGCCCACGGTGAGTATTTTCAATATTCACAAGTTAAAAAGAAAGTGACTAAATTTTACAATAGCGAACTACTAGAAATGTTGCCAAGATCCTGGCTTCAAATGTGTTTAAAATGATTATATGGTGCCTGTCCAGTTGACAAACCGACGAAATCTTCCCCTACTGAAAAAATACGACATAATGTAACAAATTCCGTTATCAAAAGCGGAAAAATTCGACGGCGTCCTGACTTTCCAAATGACGACGCATGGATACAACTATTCGCTCTCTAAGGATGACCGTGTTGCATATACGCACATTTGAAGGCACTTTCATTTCCTTCATCGCTGTCCTTAGCTACGCTGTTCTGGCCTGTGTTTAAGGTGATTCGATGGACGCCATATTTTGTGTCAGAATGGCATGCGATATATCGCATCAATCGGTTCCATTTTTTCAGCTACTTGTCATTTTTTTCCAATTTTGAGATCGCAATTCTGTTATCAGGAGACTAAAGCACTCACTCACCAATTTTAACAAAGAAATTCAACGTAATAAAGGCGTGGTTTTCTCTCTAAAAAAAACCACGCCATTATTACGTTGAATTCCTTTGTTAAAATTGGTAAGTGAGTTCTTTAGTCTCCTGACAACAGAATTGTGATCTCAAAATTAGAGAAAAATGACGAGTAGCTGAAAAAATGGAACTAATTGATGCGATATATCGCATGCCGTTCTGACACAAAATATGGTGTCCATCGAATCACCTTAATATACGATTGCAATGACCACAACCAACCAACCTCGAAACTTGGGTGTGTAGTGTAGTATTGTTGCAGAGTTGGCCAAGGAATACAACTATCGGAAACGTAATCGGCACACATGATTTTCGAAATTGATATTTGCAATGGCTATGTGCGAAAACGCTTTCGGTGGAACACTTTGTAGAGGATTTATGCAGCCCTCTTCTCTCCCTTTTTCCTGAAGGATATACACGTATTATCCGCGTAGCATTCCTCACATAAGTCGGATATTGACATTCGTCACTTCAACTTACAAATCGGCTGACTAGTTCATATACAGCTATTGAAGAAAGATAAAACATACAAACTATTATTCAGCCATGTTTATTAAGAAAGTTTTTCTATCAACTACAGAATCACACAGAAAATGAATTACATACATGAATAGCAAACAAAAACAATAAAAAAAATGAATGACATTCATTCTGTTCTTTGTCTCTTTATGTTTGCATACAGATTCATGAAACTTTAAAAATTGATACGTGATACAAAGGGACAATATGTATTGAATATGGGCTGCAGTGTGCACGTTTGACCCCTTTTTAACAACTCGATAACATGCATACCCAAGAGTCAATTTTACATCGCTCTCTGGTGCTCTGTGACACCTGATCGCCACAGTGCCCTACCCCCGCACCCTACATAGTTTTCTGGAAGTTGGCACTCCCTCATTTTTTGTAAACCTCCCTGTCGCCATCCTTTTACTAGGCACCCACTTTGCCTCCACCCAGAGACATTCATCTGAGTAACAATCATCTTAATTTTTCTTCAGGCCTGACTCTGTGCTCAATCCTGTACATCTACGAGATCTGCGTGGCTCACCAACGGAATAAACTCCTGCCACTGCTGTGCCCGATGTGTTCTGCTGGTATACTGTACGCCTACGTAATCGGTGGTTATCTACCATGGAACGTAGCCTCTCTGGTGCTGGCAGGGAGTGGTGTCGTAGGCCTCATCTGCATTTTCTTCATCCCTGAATCTCCAGCTTGGCTTGTGATGCAGGGGGACATAAACGCTGCAATCCAGAGCTTGGAGTGGCTGAAGAGGGACAAAGAGACGATCGCCCAGGAAGTAGATGAGCTGAGAAAATCCTCGACTAGTAAAGACCTGCCGCAAAGCATCAGCTTGCAGCACTTTCTCCATCCGACCGTCTGGAAGCCTTTCCTCATCCTCCTCATTTTCTCGGCCCTCCAGAACGGGTCTGGCTTCTACATGCTTCTCTACTACACGGTGAATTTCTTCCAGAACCTCGGAACGGGTGGCGAGATCGACCCGTTGACCATCACCGTTGGACTCGCTCTCATGCGACTTGTGTCTGGCAGCTTCGGGGCCCTTTTCATCGCGAGGTTCAGCAGGAAGAAACTTACCGCGACGACGGCTTTTGGTGAGTAAAAAAATTCGACCTGTATTTTGATCTGAAAAGAGATCTCTTTTGTCTTTCGACTTCTTCTTTGGTCACTCTGTCTTCCCCTCTCCTTATTTTACCTTTTTCTCTCATGTCTTTTTCGCCTGTAATAAAACACAGAAAAAAATAGTTCTGTTCACAGCGTTCCTGCACTTCTTTTGTAACAGTCACAGAAGCTTCCGTTATGAGGACAGAGTACTCTATTCCCACAACCGAAGTTCTGTTCTCACAAGAGAAAAATTCTGTAAGTGTAAGAGAGAAACTGCTGCAGGAGCCCTGCGAACAGAAGGTTCTGTCGTCAGCACCATCCATTTTTTTCTGCGTAGTAAAATAATTAATAACCCGTTGTCATGAGGACACAGTAAGACGAATGTTAAGGCACACTTGACCCCGAAACGGGTATCGTCAGTCGGATTGATGTTTCCTCTAATTACACCATTTTTTCGTCAGTTTTACTTTGTAATTTTTCATGAACGGAATATTTTCGTAACGGCCAATAAAAGTACTTTCATTCGACACAACAAGACCCCTAAAATTCAGCTTAATAAGAGCATTTTTTGAGGTTTCAAAATGGATTCGAATATTAATGAATTTTGCCACAAATTGCGAACTCTCGAAAGATTTTGATTTTCTCAATTGCTTCCGCTTACTGAAAAAAACGGCTGGTGTTCAACGCATTCATCAGGACGTGTGTTAAGTCCATTAAAAATCTCGACAAATAATTATGACTTCCCGAGGTTCCGAAATTTGATTATTGACTTGGGCTGCAATCGCATTTTTGGGCTATCAGAGCAGGCCCCGTAACGTATGAAAATGTGTGTCTATATGCACACCATTTTTATCATAACTTCACGTAGTTAGTACAATTTTTCAAAAAACAAAACAAAAAATTGCTTAGTATATTCGTACTCTTTTTATACTTCAATATAGCTACATTTGCGATTGTGATCAACCGTACTCATTGCAAATCGCGGTTTTCTCCGATCTTAAGTGGCACGTGAGGCAAAAAGACTTACCGCTAAAGATCTGGAAAGTTGTCCACGCGCACAACTTTCTGCGTACTTTTACGGGATTAGTATAGTTTTCCCCAAAATTATTTATTTACGAACCGTTTTCCCTTCTCAACATCGCCATATTCGCAGCAGTAACGAGTCGTACGCGTTGGAAATCGAGTTTTTCACCGATCGACGTTGCATGCAAAGAAAGAATATGTGCCACTAAAAATCTAAAAATCTCTGTTATGGTTCAGTTTGAGCAAATTTTCAAACAATAAATCCTCAATGCGACAAGTGATTCGCTTTTTTCGGTACGCTTACTTTTCTTCCCTTGCGTTAAAGTCTCTGAAGTGATTCCTGCATTTTGCCGTCTTCGCGACCTCTCGTGTAGTTCAGAAGAAACGCATTTTTGAAAATCCTTAATAATGTCTCTACACGTCTTGCAAGAGCAACTATCGTTTTGTCAGTACGCCTACTTTTCTTCCCTTGCATTTAAGTCTCTGAAGTTTTCGGCCCACCTTAAAGGATACTAGTTTAAAGAAAAGGAAAAGTCGATGACTTTTAAAAAGCAACTCGTAAGTGACCATAACATTGTGAAAACACTTGAAAACGGCTATATTCATATCAGATTATCTTACGCTGTTGAAAAAATATGCAACTAAGATCTAGGTCATTAATACGCTTGCAGATTGTGCATCACACTCGCAATCATGTAAACATGCGTCATGTTGGGGGTAATCGAAAGATAAGGGTTCAAGTGCAAGTGCGCTATTAATCTGCAGGAATGTGTGTGTGTTGACGTTGAGTGTGTAAAGCGAGACACACAAAAGAGTGTTTCTCAATTTTTTTTTCAAACCAAATCCAAGCGCTAGCTACCAATTTCAGGAATCTCCGCTCTTAAGTTACCTACTACTATCTTCGGTCACACATTCGGAGGGAACCGTTTACATTAGAGGTAGAATGAAGGCGTTGGATATCCAACTGTTTATGCATGCCACAGTGGCGTGGCGTGAATTGCGATGTATTGATTGACATGCAATTTAAACCTATGGTAATGAATCGATTATTAAGGTGTTCGTTGCGAACACCTTATAATACAGAGAAATTACATATGCGAGAAAAATGTTGTTATGCAACGTTATGTTAATGTGTTATGTAGCATAACAACATTTTTCTTGCTTTGAAAGGTACACCCAAGTACTAAGTTTTTAGATTTTTAAATTTTTTTACTGTTTTTATCCAACTGAGGAAGGCTGAGTTTTCATTCGAAACGTATTCTGCCGTGCTAAGGAAAAACGCCGTATGAACCTTCAGACGTTGCCATATTTCCCTCAATAAATCCTTAATTTAGTGGGGAAAATCGTGAATTTTTTTCTTCAACTTTTTCATGTAATTTTGTTCGCAATTTTGTCTAAAATATCTGAAAATTTCAAGGAAAAATACGCTTCATCGTTCTTAAAAATACATGTTTTATCCGGGGCAATTTGGCAACTCTCGAATGTTCATACGGCGTTCTTCCTTAGCACGGTAGTATTGTAGGTATGTATGTGAAAATTAGCCTTGTTACCAGCTGCTGTTAAAATTGTTCTTATTGTGTATCTTATCTTGATCTTATCACGGATTGCGGAGCACGAAACATTTCTCATTATAAAATGGACCGAGTTTAACAGAAAGGAACCAAGCCATATCAGCGGGTCGATTGTTGAAGATGATAGACAAACTTATAGACAAAGAAGACAAAAGGACTATAAAGGGATCCTATTAGTGGAAGCGAGTGGTTGCAATGGACATAGGAAGTAGGTAATGGACTAACTAACGGAAATCCTCGAGGGACCCGATAGTTAGTCCATCATTTTCTCCCTCAGTCTATGGGAACCACCCATTTCAACCAATAGGATCGCTACATACTCCCTGTGTCTTCTTTGTCTATCGCTTTGTCTATCAATTTCAACAATCAGTCCGCAGCTATTGCCAAGTTTAACTGGGCAATTAATTTATTTACGAGAGAACGTTTGTTCGGATTTCTTTGAAAATTTTAAAAAATTTGCTTCGTACGTACCATGGAGAATTTTTACTGAAATTTGCACGAAAATCTGCACAACCGTTCTCATGTAAAAAAGTAAATTGCCCAATTATAAATTTGGCAATAGCTGATGTGACTTGGTTCCTTTCTGTTAAACTCGGTCCAAATGACACTTTGTTTTGCTTGAATAATCTAAGAATATATTTTTCCTCTGAATGTTGCAGGTATGTTCATAGTCGCGTCGGCCGCGGTTGCCTACCTGGTCACTTTCGGCGAGGACCCAACGAACAGGCCTCACCAGTGGTTCTTAGTGCTGTGCTCCTTGTCCTACGTCCTTCTGTGCACCCTGGCGATCCAACCGCTGCCATGGTTGATGACCAACGAACTCTACCCGCTCCAACTCCGAGGCCTCATGAGCGGCATCACCTTCTTCTGCCTCTTCACCATGGTGTTCGTCGGCATCAAGGCCTACCCCTTCTTCATGTTCTACATCCACATCACCGGCATCCTCTGCATCTTCGCTGGAGCTTGTCTCCTCGCCGTCATCTTCGCCGTCTTTCTCCTTCCCGAGACTTACAACAAGACCCCCTACGAGATCGAGGAATATTTCATGAGACGGAAGAAGAAGTCCGTGCACTGTGATGAGACCATTTACATGTAAGACGGTTCCAGATTTCAAATGAACTAGGTACTTCCCAAGTAATACACGGGAAAAAATTAAATGTTGATTTAGCATTTATACTGTTAAAAAGATGTCCGGCAAGTTTCAAATGCTGATTTTACAATACAAAAATGCTAACATAACATTTTAATTTGCACGTTTTGCAGTGGACGTAGTTACGTTAGCATTTGCTAAAATGTAAAATCAGCATTTGAAACTTGTCGGACATCTTTTTAACAGTATAAATGCTAAATCAACATTTCATTTCTTTCCGTGAGTGATCGCGATAAATAGCGATTTTATCGGTTGGTTATCGCGATTAAATCGGTGGCAATATATCGAGATATTATCGCATTAAGAATTGCGACACATCGCAATGTTTGGTTCGATTAAATCGTGATCAATTTTCGTCGATAAAATCGAGATTAAATCGCCATTTATCGCGATAAAGTCTCGGGTGATAAAAGCGCGAATTTATCGCGATAAGATCGAGGGTAATCACTCAGATGTTGATGATCCTGGCGAATTTATCGCCGATAAAATAGCAATATGTAGCGATTTTTCCGTTGAGAAATGCAACTTGGGTTTTAACATAGAGAAAAAAAGGGGGTGTTTGCATTTCGGGCATCCTGGCTTTCTCTGATGACGTAGGTCGATATGGACGACTTTTAATTATCAATTTTCTTGGAAATGGTGTGGTTTATGGAAAAAAGTCAATTTATAAGAAGTGTTTGATATTATATCATGAGTTGGTTTAAGCGAAAAAATCGAAAGTTATGGTCCGTTTTCCATACTCTGAATTCCATATTTTGCTGGCCATGTTGTACTAACCTACGTCAAGGGGTAAACAATCCTCAAGATGCAAAAACCTCCTTTTTTTCCCTCTACGACTAATACGGGGGGAAAATATGAGCACAATTGCTCTGCCGTGCTAAAGAAGAACGCCGTATGAACCTCCAGGCGTTGCCATATCTACGCCAATAAAAATTGAATGTAACGAAAAAATTGTGCATTTTCCCCCCAATTTTTCAGACAATTTTATTTGGGATTAAATCTAAAATATCTGATTGATTGCCAGGAAAAATATGCATAACTTTCCCCGAAAGAAAAATTATTTGTGGGGGAAATTTGGCAACATTTAAGTGCTCATACGGCGTTCTCCCTTAGCATGGCATTAGGGCTGATGCTTCTCGGGCAAGGCCCAGCGGACCCATAAAAGGAGATTGCCATCTTAATCGTTCTGGAGCAGGAAAACTGTGACGTTTGCTGATTGGTCTATGGATTTTAGGCTTTCATGCATTCTTTAGGGTCGAATGAAAGCAAACAGTGGTTCCAGGTGTTCTGCCCTGCCAAGTAAGAGCGCCGTACAAGCCTCCGGGCGTTGCCAAATTTCCCTTTAAAAAATAAGAGTTTTTAGGAAAATTTGTTCATATTTTCCTTGCAATCTCGTATTTTATTCACAGTTCAATTCTAAATTATACTGAAAATTTAAAGGAAAAATAATCATAAATTTGCCTTAAAATAAATCTTTTATCACAAGAAAGCTGGCAACCTTGATTGTTCATACGGCATTTTTCTCAGCGCGGCAGTGCTGTTCTCTATACCCTCCGTTCGTATAGTATATGTATAATAAAATATAATAAAATTCTAGTCATGATAGACTTAATCTAGTCTCGATCATAAAAGTTCCTTCATAAGCAGGGAATTTCCTTGTATTGATGTAAACGTTCGACATTGAAAAATTCAACAATATGCAAACTTTTTTTTTCTTGATAATGCTGTAATTGATACTAAGTTGATCAATTAAACACTACCAGTAAGTAATATTACTGCTCAGTTATTGTAAATGTTTTGATAATTGCATCTTATCGATCGATCGATTTTGTCAAACAGAAAATATGTTTTTATTCCTCTTTTCTTTTTGACTGAAATGTAAAAAACCTTAACATTAAGTTCGACCAAGAATTTCGTACAATGTATGAGAATCGTGGTTCTAGAAGCTTTACCTAAATATCACTAATATAACCTATGATCTATCGTATTGCAGAAGGCAATGGCACATGATGAGATTGATACATTCATGGAAACTACGGGTAGAACCAAATACTAAGTTATGAAAAATTCAGAGATGAGAATCACATTATACCTTCATAGAAATATTCCTTTCAGAAGGTCTCCATTTCAAGTCAATTTTATTAAACTAAAAATTAGCAACCGCTGTTGTAAACATGGGCTGAACGTGAAAACTCTTAATCATTCCATATGTTTTATATTATACTTATATTCCACCCACCTTCTTGGTTTAGGTTACGGGGTCTATATGTATTATTTTCATAAAATGAAGGCACTTAAGGGTTACTTTTAAGGTACGTCTTTTGATAGGTAAGTTGTATGCTATTTTTTCAGATTAAACTCGATACTCGAAATATTTCACTGCGTTCATTGTACGCGATAAGGATGAAATTAATTTCAAGCTACTCTCGAAAGTTTAAAAAATATGTAAGTAATTTATGTACAGTGGTGCGCGCACTGCCCTTTGTAAATATTGTACAATTTGTAATTATTCACAATTTTCATCGATTTAAGCAGACACAAACCATTGTATTTACCAATCATGTTTTTTTCTCGAATTATAGAAATAATAAGGTTTTATATATAGGTATTTGAATTTGTACATGTAATGAACTAGATCTAGAACAATAAATCAAGTTCGATGAGAACACGTCAAAGCAAACGTGTTATTAAATTAATTTGCAATGTTTGAGCAAGATTACGCATTGATGAAGTACATCAACAAAGTACTCATCCTTCGGAAAACGACCAGAAAGGTCTATTTTAAAATGAAGTGGAGAACGCTCTGTAATTGACTTAAGTGATTTTCGTCAATCAAAGTGAGAGGTTCCAGATCTCTTGAGTCTCGGTCTTGTTTTTTCTAAGAGGAACAAAGTTCAAGAGGATGTTTTGAGATATACTCACCGTTACTTTCCAGTGGCATGGCGTGATTTGCGAATTATGGATTGATCCGCCATTTAAATCTATGGAAAAAGATCGATAAACAGGGTGTTTGCATTCGCAACAAACACCTTAATAATCGATTCTTAACCATAGCTTCAAATTGAGAGAAATCGATAATCGACCATTTGTGCCTCGTCACTGTTACTTTCCTTTGTGAAGTGAGAGTCCCTTATCTATAACTATATAACAGCCTTTAATATCTTAGTATTCCAAGGCTCGTTTTAACTGGTGACCAAAGTGGAATTAAATGCTCATTGAGAATGTGCCACTCAAAAATTCGTATCATACACGTCCACTCAGGCCGAATCAAGTCCTCTTATCCTTTGAGCGATGTTCGAAATGATAAATAATCCATTCTCTGTGTCACTCAGTCGAGTGTTTCATGATCCCTCTGGTATAAAAACCACCAGAGCCGAACCAATCGCAGACATTTGCAATTGATAGCTCTTGATTTTTCTCAGACGCTAATCATACCTCTTGAATATGATTAAAATTTGTTTATTGAAGGTGATATCATCAATGATTTTAGGGTTTTAGTACTTTAATCGGAACCTTCACTTTGCTCCGCTCCTGAAAGTGGCTGATGTCCCACGAAAAATGTGAGAGGTCCAAGGTTGGCTTAACCTCTCGCAAATTAAAAGTAATAAAATCTCTTCAGAGAAGGGTATGAGTACTTCACATGCTGGGGTATGAAACTACTTTTTTGTTTTGAAATCAAACGGATTTTTATTATGCACGAGTTGCAATTACGGGACTTTACATCCCCTAGTTGAGCGGGGTTTGATAAAAATGCACTAAGTCGCATTTTCGAGATGAAAACTGAGTTGGAAGAAGTTTTGAATTCAACTATAGTAGTGAATTTTTTGCTGTTGAAAATTCGAAATCGAGAAAATTATTCCGAAGGTGCGAACAGTCCTCAAACTTAGTCTTTAAAATTGACGTATTGATGATATTATAAATACATTTCACCGTTGTCCTTTGCGTACGTCAAGTTATATAATTGGAAAAGAGTTATCAATAAAATGAAATAAAAAGTAATGCGAAAATGAAAGGAAGAAAAAAAAAATAAATGATCGGAAATATTATGAAAACCCTCTTGAGTAAATATCCTCCGACGATTAGACGATGCCACGTGCCTCAGACTCGAGGTTGTTGCTGCGCGCGGTAACACAACGCCTTGATGCAACTATTCGAACTCTATGGATGTCCGTGTTGCATACACAAAATATAGAAGGCGTTTTGGTTTTCCTACTCCTCGCGGCCTTGCTCCTAGCTCGCCTCGCGACTGTGATACCGCGGCTGCGGCCGCTATATTCACGATTCTTCATTGAAGAGTAGTTCGGCTCTCAGCACGCTGAACATGATTTTAAATTATAAAGATTTCTACGATTCCTTTTTATTTTAGTAACTAGTCAACACCTCTAAAAAACTTGTTTTGCTTACTGTCTATTCTTCGGTCCTGATTATTTGTACCTATTTATAAGATGACGATGATCATTTTGGACCTTTTTGGTCCATCCTCAGGTCACACTTGGCACTCGCAAACTCGTTATCATGTTCTCTCGTTATCACGTTATTGCGTTATCAGCGCGCGCTGATAATGCGATAACACATACTTTTATTTAATTTTTATTTTTTATGTTTCGACAAGTTCGCGAGTTTCCGAGTGCCATGTGTGCCCTGAGGATGGACCAAAACGGTCCGAAACGATCATCGTCATCCTATAAATACGAAGAATCAGGACCAAACAATAAAAAGTAAGCAAAAAAGTTAACGTATTCACCTGATAAAGGAATGAACCCAGCCAACCTCTAAAAAAGTCCGAAAATACTACTAAATAGACATTATGATATAAAACGTATGCAACTTTTCCTTCTTACCATAGTTGACATTTGCAAAAAGAGGGGGAAAAATACGGGAAATATTCAGCGTTCTCGATGATAAAATCCAATAAATGGATCGCATTTAACAGAAAAGAACCAAGCCAAATCAGCTAGTGTCAATTCCACGGGGCACTGTAATTTTTCACAAGAGAACGTGTGAGCGGATTTTTTTGAAAATTTCAAGGAACTTGCCTCGTACTATGTCAAAATTCATTGAAATTTGCCCAAACATCCGCACAAGTGTTTTCATGTTAAATATTAAATCGCCCAGTTTTTGGCAATAACTGATGTGGCTTAGTTCCTTTCTGCTTAACGCGGTCCAAACATATCATTACATTATGAAAGAATCATCGTATTATCTAACGTTACCATGTAAAATTAATGCAATTTGTTTAGTTTTAGTTTTAAACCATGTAGATAGATACAAGGAAATACTTGTAGTAGTTACGTTATATTTAAATTAAATTCCTAAAAAAAAAAAAAAAAAAAAAAAAAAAAAAAAAAAAAATTATGAAAGAATGAGAGAAAAAATGAAACGAATGAGTGAACTGCAGCGCCCCTAGAATGAGAGACTCGAAACTCGTGAAGAATGAGAATCATGACAGTAATGCGAGCGGTGCAACGAGCGATGAGATTACAGGCGGGCATCAAAGACCTGACTCGTGCTGCTCCAAGAAAACAGCGGCGTTTCTGGGAACTTTCATTCATTGAACTTCATTCACTTCAAAGCTCAAGGTCGTTCCCTAACAAAGTTTTGTTGATACACCTGTGATTGTTAGTTGCCACGCTGATTGCTGTTATCAATGAAGAGATTCGAGCTTTCTCTAATTCTCGGTTGCCCGGCTTATGCTTCGAGCCATTTTAAACCGTAATTCAAACGCGTCTAGTGTGATTTTTTTTCCAGTTTGACACATAGTGACAATGAATAATTTCAAGTAGTTATCGAGAAACGTAACCTATACATACGATTTTTTGGAACGGAAAAAACATTCACCAATCAGTGAAATATGAGTGACATACTTGTGATTGGATCTTGCATGATAGATTTAGTATGGTAAGCAATTTTCATGATTTTTTTATTTTTTACTTATAAAACGTCGCTTCACTTAAAAGCATGCACAGAAAATCAGCTTTACGGTGTACTCGCCGTCAATCGAATGCAAACAAGCCATGCGCTTCGAGTGTGACTTCACAAAATACCTGCTTTAAGCAGGAAATAATATTCGAGGTTATATTGCACTAGTGAGAAATTTTTTATTTTACGAGGCACGGTCGGTGGGCTTTGGGTGAGTGTTGTCCAGCAAATGTGAGTTAAAAATAAAGCAACACACTGAAGGAGGCACAGCAACGCCCTCTTTCGATTCCCCTCGGCATGCACCGGACTTGCGCAGAAGGAAACGCACGCTTGCCATCCGTCTACAGCGCAGAACGAACGGTGACACACGCCTGAAGTCCAAAAAACGTGAACCAGGCCCGTCAGCCCTGCTCGCTTTGAAAAGTGGTTATCGACGCGACGCGCGACGTATACGGCGTCTTGAGCTCGAACAACCCACGTGCTGATAAGTCGAGCTGGACCGTAAACTACTCGGCCAAACCTTACCGTCGAGAACGAGAAAAGCGATTTGTTATATTTACGATTTTTTTTTTTATCGTTCTTGGATGTGTGTGTCGCACTACACTGAAAAAAAATCTCTGTGTATTTACTGAGAAAAGGGTAAAATTACCAAGAATTCAGGGTTCTATTTGATCCCAGTTTTTTCTTGGTAAAATTACCATTTATGGAATTGGTAATTTTACCGAGAAAGCTCGGTAAAATTATTGAACTTTCTCGGTAATTTTACTGGACCTTGGTAAAAATGCCAATATTTTTTATCGACTACGGTAGAATTACCGAGATAAAATGGCAAAGTTACCGGGAATTGATTACCAATAAAAGNGAAAAGTGGTTATCGACATATACGGCGTCGTGAGCTCGAACAACCCACGTGCTGATAAGTCGGGCTGGACCGTAAACTACTCGGCCAAACAGTACCGTCGAGAACGAGAAAACCGCTTTGTTTTATTTACGATTTTTTTTTTCTTGGGTCGTTCTTGGTTGTGTGTGTCGCACTGGGTGGTTTCAAAATTTCCCAGGAAGCACCCATAGATCCGTAGAAATATTTTGCCTATCAACAAAACTGCACAAGAAAAATTTGGAAAAGCTTACAATTAGTGAAGCTAGAAAAATTATGTGAAATTTTATTTTTATGAAGGAAACTAACGACTATTATTTTATAAAAATTTGTACTCCCCCCCCCTTCCCTCCCACCGGTCAACATGAGAACGACTAGCGAGGGATCGGGGAGCCAGTCCCTGAGAGGGATTGTGTTCCCCCCTCTCGTAAAATTTGTCTAGCTACGCTTATCCCTGTCGAAAATATTCTATGTAAATCTCATGTAAAATTTTGATGCACCAATATTTTCACCCTTCTAGTCTTTCATGATGCGTGCCGAAACTGCCGCATATTGCGACTCCGCGAGTTTAAATATTAGAGCCTATAACACAGAGCGGAGCGGCGTGTTAGCAGCGCAGAACGCGCACTGGCGCCTACAAACCTAACGGGATACTTCACGCATTGCGCAACGCGTGAAGTATCCCGTTAGGTTTGTAGGCGCCTATGCGCGCGTCACGCTGGTTGACTGCCGCGCCGCAACGCTTAAAGCAACTATTTCGCGTCAGAGGCGTTGTACAGTATCCTACAAGATTGAAGGCGCACGAAATAACTAGTTAAAGAGGACTTTCAATTTTGTCAGCATCTGTTACTGAAAAATGTTTAAGTTGGCATTGGAGCGTTTCCTAGGCTCCCGCTTCGGTTTTCATCTTATCATATCCGTACAGTGTACACATGAACATATGTTTTTATCTGCTCTTAGAGTCTGTTCTCTTTCATGACTTGATTCATGAATGAAATGTTTTTAAGAATGAAGGTAGTAGTAGTATGCATTTATTTTTGAGGTGGTTCCTGTCATTTAAATGAGAAGAAAAAAATGTGGACATAACATGTCCACAATTTGGACAATTTTGGACATATTCATGGTTGGACATTAAATCATGTGGACTTAATATAGACTGGACTTAATGTTTAGTATGGACATAAATAGCGGTGGACATTTATTTAATAGACGAAAGGTAGGTGGACATAAAGTCTTGGAAGCCAAATTTTATCATAAGTGGCCCCTTGAACCCCTCTCCACGAGGAAAGCTTACCATTAACACCTCCTCATGAGGAATTGCACTTTAGAGGAGCCCGCAAAACAGACACATCGTAGGTAGTTATGATTTTGTGGTACAAGTGCCTTCACGTCAATACATGGCCACATAATATCCATCGCAAAGCATCTTTTAAAAAAATATATTTTTCCAAGTTTTAGCACATTATCATGATCATAAGGTAAAAAAGGCATATTAGGTTTACCCTTTAACTTTAAATTAGTTTTTGCTTATCACTGATTATTTTTTGCGGGTTTTCAGTTATACATCTCGGTTGCCTAAAATTGGAGAAACTATTTATGGACATACATTTCAAATTGGTCATGGTGGAAAAGGTGCCAATCAGTGCATTGCTGCAAAGAAACTTCAAGCCAAAACTTCGCTAGTAGCTAAGGTAAACCGAAGGAAGTAAATTGATGCATACAAAACTATGTTAAGCGGTTTTTATCATCATATATTTTTTTCGGAAAAGATACACAAAAATTAGAGGAAAAATTTTTGATTTTAGAATAATGACTGTAAATACGTTCCATCTACTTGTCCCTCTTTTCTTTCTCCGGGACATTCCTGCGCCTAGGATTTCCTTACAGTTAAAAATAACATGCATATTTTGATTCTATTTCATTCTCTCTTGGCTAGTTTTCCGAGGTATAGTATGCTCTTATGGCTGCATTTTCACGTAACATATTTCTACAAAAAATGTTTCGAAGTTTGAGTATATATAATGAGAGTTTTGATGCAGTCAGCCTCATTTAGATTTCGGCCATTTGGGGGGTCAATTAAAACTTTTAGTATTAAAGTACAAGTAAAAAGTGCGGGAGGGGAGACGATTAAAGAGATAATTATATACGAAGGAATTATTGTATTGATTGTATAAGAAATCAGTTTGGAAACTATATGGGCACTCATAGGGTCGAAAATGTTTAAATGAGTATGTTTTAAGAAAAGGAATTTCAGTTTTCCAGACCGGTGAAAATTTTCATTTCACGTTTGTTCGTTTTAAAGTATTTCTAATGAATCATCCAAGTGGAAAGTTTATCAACGAATAAATGCAAATTTAAAAATAAGTTCGCGGTCTGATTTCAGTTGGGAGATGACGAGTTTGGTCGTCAATATTTAGCCTCTTTAGACGCTCACGGTGTAAGCACAACACATGTTAAATTAGTAAACGGTTACTCAAGCGGAATAGCACAGATCACGGTGTCGGATAAGGGTACGTAGAAGTGTCAAAATCCACCTCTCGTTAGATTACCTATCATACATAATGCACCAGAAGGAAAAAAAGCTATCTTGATTGCGGTTGCCCCCCCCCCCTCTTTCTATAAATAGAAAATACGCAATAGTTCAAAACGATGTTCATGTTGTATTTTCTATCCTGTCCTCAAGTTCTGAATCTCACAAGTGTGCGACAGACTGCAAGCAGACGGATTTCAACAAAGTATAGATATCAAGTGGAAGAGATAATCACAAAAACAAAAACAGAACAAATGCATAGTGAATTGCGTACAGTGTCATCTTGATAATTTGAAATGCGCTCTCAAGCTCATGCCTTAAAAAGTGCATTTCCAGGATTGATAGTTTCGAATCAATTAATTCTCTAAACGATAACAGGTACATTGCCAACTCTAGGGAAGTCACGATCGTTAAATTTATATTTAAAGTATGAATAACACTCATCGAACTGAAGACTCAAAAAATTTAACCAACACATGCCGGCTTGTCACGTTTTTCGTTTTTCTAAAATCTGTTTTTAAAGGAATATAGTGTTCTTAATTCGCTCGATGCAATTACTCACGTTCCCCGAGGCGAGGGCGATTACCCACGCACAAGTGGAAATTTCACAACGTAAATAAAGCACTCAGCGATGCACATGTTTCCCACGGATGTGACTTTTGGAGGGTTTCGAGTACCTAACAGTTTTTATGTTTAGTTCAGACAGTTCCTCTATTGCATCAATTCGACATCATTACTGTTTGGTATATACCCTTTACACACACCGGGGCTAAGTCCTGAGAAGGGTGGCCTTTAACACACAGCACACCATAAACTTAAAAAATAAGTACCTCAACTTCCCAATTTGTTGCCCGCCGTATTTGATTCTATCATATGACTTAATCCCAAATGAATGTTTACACCACTTTCATGACAGCATCGCGACTGCGGACAAAATTATTAACAGCAAAAGCTCAAAGCTAGAAAATGGACATCAGCGTATTAATATTTCTATAATACTCGCCGTGCGAAATCCAAACTTATGTGAATAAGTTTATTGAGTTTCATTCCTCAAGCTTAGAATAATTATAAGACAACCCTCAGCCAACGTAGATCTCATCTGATGAGCGCAAAGACACTATGTATGTTGATTAAAAACGCCTGAATACAACTATTCGTACTCTAAGGACGTCCTCATTGAATAGAGGCAAAATTGAAGGAGCTTCGATTGCTCCTGCTCTCGAAGCTAGTCGTGTGGCAAGAGTTTTGCTACCGAGCTCATGGTTTAATTGGTATCACCAAGGAACAAAACGGCAAAATATTCAATGGAGTTATAGAAATACAACATCATACTTCATCTACTTACTTTTTTTTAGGTGAAAATCAAATCGTCATCGTCCCTGGAGCTAATACGACACTTTCAGCAACCGATATAGATGATGCCTTGGAACTGATAAAGAAAGCTAAGGTTGTAGCCTTCCAGTTTGAGAATCCAATCGATGCAGTTCGGTATGGCTTGCAATTAGTCAAGAAACATAAAGGTATGATTTCTGTGTTAATTTGATTCATCAGTAGAATTACTTGCTTTAGCTCATTACTAAAAAAAATTAATATGCGACATTAATAATAAAAACCGACCTCTAAAAAGTTACCGAAACTCGCAGTAAATATTAGAGAACGCTTTAAAACTTTCATTCGCAATAAAATAATTTTTTTTTTTTTTTTTTTTTTTTTTTATGGGAGATTGAAATTTAACCAGGCCTTGTAAAAATATTTTTGAAGACAGCTTTTTAAAGCTTTTTCATGGCTGAGAAACTGGAATCACATGGAAAGGAACCTCAGCACATTGTCACAATGATGATGTGACTCCGGACTTATTTATCTGATTTTCATCCGAAAGGCTGATCAAATTCTTCAATCTCTGTCAGAGATTCGAGGGCCGGATTAAGGGGGTCCACATGGGCCGCGGCTCACGGCAGCAAATCTATGGGGGCGGCAAATTTTGCAAATTTTTTAAATGTAGGTATAAAAAAATCGGATTTAGAAAAAAAAAAATTACAAACGAGAGAAGGTGACAAAATCCCTCATGTCCTGAGAGTATAGTAATTTCTAATCTTGTCGTCACCACGCAATTGGGCCTGGAACGGCGCGACTTAGAGAGACGACGAGGACTTGAAATGAAAAGGAGAAGCCCTCGGCGTGGCGATCGGCTTGTAACACATATTAGCGCCTACAAGACTGCACGAATACTTCACGCATTGCATAAAACACAGTGCGGTCATTGCGGACAGCGGGGGACGGATAGCGCCTGCAAGAATGCATGAATACTTCACGCATTGCGGCAAACACAGTGCGACCAGCGTGAAACGCATAGCGCCTACAAGACTGCGTGAATACTTCACGCATTGCGTCAAACACATTGCGGTCTGAACTTATCGCTTCATTTTTAAGAAGAATATAGCCGGCCGTCTAGTTACAACCGCCTCAAAGAATATTCTTAAAAAGGGGGAGAAATATGACACAAAATCGTCTCCATTAATATCCATAAAAAAAAAAAATTGAAAATAGCTATGTATCCTCACCGTCTATTTGTTTCAAAATTAGTGTTCTTATGTTTATTCGTGCGTTTGGCTTATAACGTTGCTCTCCTGACGTAAAGGCGTATCTCGGTTTCCGCATGAGCCAGTGGCGTGGCGTGCTTTGCGATGTATCGATTGTTCTACCATTTAAACCTATGGTAAAGAATCGATTATTAAGGCGTTCGCTGCGAACACCCTGTGTATCGATCCTTTTCTATAGGTTTAAATGGCGTAACGATCGATATATCGCATTTCACACCACGCCACTGGCATGAGCCCCCGAAAGCATGGATTTTTACGTGAAACAGGGCTCAAGTGGATATTCGGATACGCCCTCAGGTCAGAGGAACGAAGTCAAGACTTCCGTTACCAACGGATTTAACATAAAATAATCGGTTCAGTTCAATTCTAAGAAGTATGCTGATAGAAAAAGGTTTCTTTCTCTGATTTAATTTTTTCCGAAAACTAACAGGCTCTAATAAAATATTCTCAAATCACATAAGATTGAGCTTCTCCTTGACCAAGTTCTAGAACATTCTCCGGAATTCCCTCTGGAGCCTCCGAATGTGGGTGTTTCGTAACACCCTCCATCGGTCTCGCGACCTTTTATCTTGGAGATTTACTCAGCGTCTAAGCTCTAAAATTTAATTACGCCCCTGGAGGCGGAATTCGCTTGAATTTCGATTCGGATTGAGAGCCACAAATCTATAATGAATTCAGCAACGCGTGAAAATACCAACCCTGCATTACCCTCGTCATGAAGCACTGGAAAAAAAAAAAAAAAAAAAAAAAAAAAAAAAAAAAAAAAAAAAAAAAAAAAAAAAAAAAAAAANCAATCAGATTTAAACTTAAATCAAAAGGAAATCCGCTCAAATTAAGAGGCTTGGTTCTTGATTTAAGCTAGATTCCGATTGAATCAAGAGTACTTTTTCTTGTCGATGTTTTTAAGAGTCTGGACTCTAGATCCAATGTGTTTTTTTCCAGTGAATGATGGGATCACACACTAAAATTTAATTCATTCAGGAGTTGTTACTCTAATTTTTCTCTGCCTGAAATCGTAAGAAAAAAATCATAATTTAGTATAATATTAATCCGTATCTGGTCAACTGGCTTCTTATGTTCTGAAAAAATATAGATTCTTACTTAAAAATGAATGAGCTGCTTGAGATTGCTTCCTCTCAATTTTTTTAAAAATTTATTTGTTTTTTTAAACATTTTTATGTGCAAATATGATAAATGAAAATAGTTTATTTATTTTAAATTTGCTTGGGCCCGATTTCGAAAATGAAGTTTGTAAGTCGAAAGGGCGGAATTAAAGGCAGTTTGTAACCTTGAGGGGAGGTTGTCCTTGAGTAAAATGTCATTTTTTTTCTCTTCGGTGTGTAATACAAATATAAGATTGTCTTTTGTGAATCTTGTTCTCATTAATTTTTTCAGGTTTTACCGTCTTAAATGCAGCACCAGCTTTAAAGGAGGTTGACTCCGAAATCCTGCAGTTCGTAGATTTGCTATGTGTCAACGAGCCTGAGGTAAACTTCATTTTGTATTTTTAAGGATTAATAGGGTTTTGAAAAATCGTCAGCAATTATTTCCTGTTTGAGTCTTAGTCATCATCTCAAGTCCATCAACGTGATTTTATTAAAAGTGTATTAGTCCTTGAAGTACGGCCGATGTATGAGAAAGTTAATAAGCTAATAGGCTACGGAGACAACTTTTCATTCAAACCTTTTTTATTGTCTTTCAATTTCTTTTAACCTCATACTCAAAAATTATTCAAGCTCTAAAACACTCAAAAAGCTACAGCTTACCGTTTGCGTAGGTACTCCTCTTTCTTTCTTTTTGTTGTAATCTTTTTGAAAAAACATCCAGTATCTGCTTTGTTACATCATAATGACACAAAGTAAAGGAAAGACAAACACAATACAGAAGTCCGGGCTCTGGGGTGCCTCACGTAAACGGAGTACAAGGACGCAACGCAGTTTTAAAACTTGAGCGCTCTCTAAGAATGTACATGCAGAGCTTGATGCGCCTTCAATTGGCACGATAGGCAAAAACTTGTTCACCGAGGTTGAAATGGACTACATTACTACATTTAGCAATTAGGCACAACCCTTTTTGCCTCAGATTAAAAACAGCCGATGTACCAATAGTTTGCCTTCACATATACGTGTTTTTAAGGATGAGCCAGAAATTTTAGTTCCTAATAAACTGCAACATGATGTCAAAATGCGATAATTAGCCGGATTACACTATTGAACTACGGGCTTTACAATTTGGACTGCATTTTGCAATTTGCAACTGTAAATTCTGGCTCTTCTGGAAAAACACTTATGTGCATAGGGAAACTGATGGCACATACGTTGTTTTTAAATCGGGCTAGAATTTATAGTTCCAAATTGCAAAATGTAGTCCATTTAGTCGAGACATGGGAACATAGGCATGCCACGTAACTGAATTTAAAAATGTCACTCCTTTTTAATGTTGAACATTTTTAAATTACGTCACTGCGGTGTTTTTGACAGCATTAGTAGTAGTGTCTATTTCGATCTGTATCTTTGTAGGCTGAAGTTTTAGCAGACATGCCTGTCATCTCCGTTGAAGACTCCTTCATAGCTGCTAGTAAATTACTGGAACTTGGCTGTCAGACGGTCATTCTAACTCTAGGTGCAAAAGGAGCAGTCCTTGCCTCTAAATCAAATCCAAGCCCCGTTCATGTTGAAACAATAACGGTAGAAAATGTTGTGGATACGACGGTGAGTATTTTCCCAGTAATGTCTTGTCGTTTGTAAGATTCTCGAGTACATGAAACATCTTACTCTTAGCTTGGAGCAAGGATGAGAAGAGAAGAAAAGAAACAATTCAGTTGGAACTTTGCGACTTACTGCAAAATTATGACCTCTGCATCATCAATTAACTTTTGGTTGACACGGAAAATTCGTTTGTTCGAGGAAAGTTCACGAGAATAATACAGTGGCGTTTTCAGATCACGGAAATGTCAATGGACCTACTGAAAGCAAGCACAATAAATTTACGTAACTCCCTTTAGAAGTCCCGCGAACAGGCAACTCCTGAAAAAAGACATAATGTTTTGATTGTATAACTCGCCGTTGTTTTTCTTGGAGATTTCCCGGCTCTCTTGTTTTAGGAAGTTATATCATACTGCGTAGGACCGACTGCGGGTCGATCATTGAATCGCTATCGAATGACCTTGATCGACAAGCCCCTATCTTAGCTATGCAATTTATCGATGAGCGATAAACGATGACGATTCAACAATCGACCTGCAGCTCACCTTTGCAATCAATCATTCGCTGTGAAAGTGGAGACAAAAGCCCTGAAGCGAGTGCAGAATCGGCTTTAAAAAGATGGCAATAAAACGAGTATCGAAATGCTTCCCTAAATTTTGACCTTTCGCGAATGAGTCTCAGGATCACGTTTCATACTAACTATGACCCCCTGAAAACGAAAATAGGATGCAACTATCAATCTGCTATCATAAGTATATGAGAACTCAAGTTAGCCGGACCAATTTACAGCACACAAGAAGACGACTTGGAGGTAGAAATGCCAAAAATGACACAAGTTATCACATTAAATATCATACAATATATCATATGATATCATAACCTATCATATATTCTCCTTAAGAAATCTTGCAGTTAATACTATATTCTTGGCAGCACAAACATTACGTCTCGACGCTTAAGCACGTTGCCCAAGTAGCACGGAGCAACGGAAATATTGGGCAAATGTTCCGATTCCATGCGGTGAAATTGCCATTTCTTAACTATGATTTTGCAATATTTTTACAATATTTGGTAAAGCTGCCGATTTGAAAGAATCGATAATATGAGTTCCATGGATAAGAAAAATAGACGATTTGTAATGCGAAGAAAACTGGCAACTTTTTTTAAAATTCCATTGCAATTCATTTCAATCAGCGGTGCTCCTTCAATCAGCAACTATTCGTGTTCTGGGGATGTCCGTGTTGCATATCAAAAAATTGCAGGCGCTCTGTAAACAGGCTCTGTAAACGCAGGCGCCAGTGAGCCTCTCGCGCTGGCAGCACGCCACTCCACACTGTTTGGCTCTAATATTTATACTCGTAGAGTCAGCGTTTTTTAACTCATGATTTTGAAATGTTTGCACACTCTGCATGAATTATTCTGTTATAAATTGAGGGGGAAAAAATCTGTATCAAAGGAGAATATAATGGGTTTTTAAATATTGGTGGTTCCGTGAAACGGAAAACAACGGGTTTGCATGAATGCTGGAAATCGTGCAAAGCAACTTCCGAATGGAGACGGTCAGAAATAAAGAAAGAAATGGATGAAAGAACACAAAATAGAAATGAGGGGTTCAATCCAGGTGGTCGTAAGCACCTTTGCTTTTAAGTTCTTCGGAACATCCAAAATCAAGAAAATGTTTGTAGGCTTTCGTGAGGAAGAAACTGACATTTCAAACAAGCTAATGGAATTGCTAACGTAACTGAATTTATCCTTCAACACTCACACGGGTACATCAATTTAATGATGACCCACTTTTTTAACAGCGATGCCTTCGAGTTACACTCCAACAACAAAGGCTAATAATATATTACCATTTTACAGTGGCGTGGCGTGCTTTGCGATATATCGAATAATCTGCCATTTAAACCAATGGAAAAGGATCGATAAACAGGGTGTTCGCAGCGAACACCTTAATAATCGATTCTTTACCATAGGTTTAAATTACATATCAACCAATATATCGCAATTCACGCCACGCCACTGACCATTTAGCACTCTATCAGATACCCACTCCGGGACGTACAGGATCCATTTGCTTTTCGTAATTTCTTTGATCTTGGTTTCAGGGTGCCGGAGATGCTTTCATTGGAGCCTTAGTCTACTTTTTAGCGTACCAGCCTTCTCTTTCAATGGAGGATATGGTCTCACGAAGTTGTCGAGTGGCGAGTTACTCGATTACAAAGCCAGGGACGCAGGCGAGTTTTCCAACGAGAAATGATCTCCCAAGCGAATTGTTTTCCTAGTCCACGAAAAACTTATTTTCTCTCGCCTTTCTCCGTGTTCAAAAATTTGTAAACAATTGAATTTTTGATACCAGTTATTGTCTTTTTTAAAAAAATAAAATTCCCTTGTTTTCTATTTTCAAAAATCGTTTCCGCCTTATTTTTTCACCATTTTATTCGCCATTCCCAAAGTAAATACGAGGATCGGTTTTGAGCATTGGCGGATCCACCAAATTGGCAACATTGTCTTTCCTCCATTCAAACCTATGGAAATGTGTCGATTTTTGGTGGCGCCCGGTGCTCCGAGAAGAATCGATTATTTAGCTTAGCTTTAAATTGAGGAAATCCGGTGTTGCCAAATCGCTGGATCCGTCTCTGGTTTTGAGTCAAGTATCTTTTTACCGTGACTTCCGAGCTACTGCTAAAAATAAAATCCGACTCTCGTTGATTGTATACTCAGCTTCCGATTTTCGAACGAGCCAGGGTTTTTCTTTAAACTTTATTCATTAATTTTTTTCATACTGACCGATGCGACCAAGATTCATGTGAGGAAACTGAGGATGCACGTAGATTTATGCTGAGGGGATGCAATCAAGGCAAGCGTTACCTAAAGTGCATGAAGTCCTGCGCGCATCCTACGTCGAAAATCGGGATGAATAGTTATTCAGGTGCAAATCTTCTTGTCTTTTTCCATTGCGGAAGAAAATCGTGGTTCTAACAATAGGTGTAGAGAATTTCAGGTCCCACCTACTTTTCTATTCGTGGTCGCAACACAAGATTATTTGATTGATTGATGATCGATTGATTGATTGATTGATGATCGATTGATTGATTGATGATCGATCAATCGATTGATTGATTGATGATTGATTGATCGACTGATGATCGATTTATTGATTATGATAATTTTAGTGACAAAGAAGCACATGTCCTCAACCAAGCACACTCCCAAAGATGTGCTGTCTGGGCGAATTAGCCATTTACACATAATTGGACCGTGTTAGGCAGAAAGGGACCAAGCCACATCAGCCATGTTTAACTGGGCAATTTAATTTTATACATGAAACTGGTTGTGCGGATTTTTGTGCAAGTTTCAGTGAATTTTTCTCATAGTACGAAGCAAATTCCTTAACATTTTCAAATGAATTCGCACAAAACGTTCTCTTGATTGTTCACTGATTGTTGAAGTTGATAGACAAAGCCATATCCAAGAGATATTTTAAAGTATGCATTTTTAAATCTGAGTTGTGGTGATGACTTCATCGGGAAATAATTAAATTTTAGTAAAAACATTTTATCAACGAGGGAGCGAGCAAAAATTCAGTCAGATATACATGATTACCAACGTTCTTGAGGGTCGTATCAATTTTTTTTTTTTTTTTTTTTTTTTTTTTTTTTTTGCGTAAGGATATGAATGTAAATTTTCGAAATTCATGACCGTTTTTCTTTGTTATGGTGCGGTAAATTGTATTAGCATTAACATTAACCCTCAATTGGACTTGCTTTTGCCATTTGTTCTACTGTTTTTGGCTCAATTCGAAAGCAATATATGTGCCGAATAGAAGCTTTTATAGATGAGCCAGAAATAGCAGTTCCTTACTTCAAAATTGAGTCTAACTAACGCCTGGATGCAACTATTCGAACTTCTTGGCTGTCCATGCTGCATGCAAGTAAATGAAGGCGTTTGGTTTTCGTTCCTTTGAATGTTGATTGAAAAGCGAACGACGAGTGAAGCCCTGACATTTCATGAACCACATTATCTGAAGTTGTGGGTTCAGTGAGAGACTCCATATTTATTAATGTTAAAAGGAGTTTCGTAGGTTCAGATATCACGGGTGAGGAGGAAATGAAGACATATGGATTAAAAAGTGTCACATCTTCTTTTTATTATTATAAATAATTGAAAAGTCATTAACTACCTTACAAAATTATGGTTTTAATATCACAGAAATTGCACTCTAATAAAGCAGCTGGTATGTACAAAAACATTCACAATCAGTATACAATGCGAGCTGCAGATGTCGTAAAAACTATAAAGTTGGGAAGAAAAATAAGTTAAATTGCGAGATTGAAACTGGAAAATAACCCTGTTCTACCTGTAAATATTTATTTTGACCATTCCATGCATTTGAAAAAAAAAAAACAAGAAAACTATTGATCGTATGCCTACACTTTTTATGGTCTCTTTTAGTATTTTGCACTAACGCTTTTTTTGAGAAAAATAACAAAAATTTGTGAAAATTTATCACGTGGTGAAGCAACAATAACTCGCGTTGTTACAATTACATGGTGTATGGAGCTAGAGGTGGAATTTAATTCTCTACTAGTTCTTTTGGGCAAATATTTTCCAGTTTCAAGTCTATATATAATATTGTAGTGCCTTGATTTTCAAGGTTTCAATTTCATTCCGTTCATACCGTTCACAAATTACGCCAAGTTCGAAGGAGACTGCGGTTTCTACCAACGGAACAAGTGCATGATTGTATGCCAATTTTCTTATTTATTTATTTTTTTTTTTTCGTGGAGGAGGTCAAATTAATTTTGATTAAATTTTTAAGGGGTTGAGAAGTTGAACATGTGAGACGACGCTTGGCAAAAAAGTAAGGGAGGTATGTAATTCAGAACTTTAGCAAAACTTAATTTATGAACGATCTTTTTTTGTGAAGGGAAGTAATGTGGGCGGTTAAACACATACATACATTGATGAACAATTAATTGAATTAATAAATAAGTACATAAATAAAGGGTCTGGAAATAAATTAATGAAAGAATAATTATTTGAGTGGATAATTGACAAAATATTCAATTGATGGAAACAAATAATAAATAAATCCCCTCAGCAAGTACAAAAAACAGATTTCTCAAATATTATTCTATGATGACTTTTTTAATGGGAGAGGAAGAAAATAAATACATAAATATTAAAATAAGTAACAAATGAGGATGATTGGATGGATATAATTTCACAGATTTCAAGATCAAATCGGTACCACTTCTTGCATTGCGTCTAATTTGAAATCATTAGCTCTTGTACAATCAGAACAAGTACTAAAATCATTCTACGTCTTTGAAATAATTACGGAAATACAAAAAAATGCGTTTTCGAAAGTTTGGTAGAATTTTTTAAAAGAAATAGTTAAGAATCGTTTTAAGGTGAAATTATAAATCATACGGTTATTTGATTACGCTACATCAGTCTTAAAGCCTTACAAATTTGATTATTACTAACATTTAGTCTCAAGATGATGGGAACTCAGGACTCTTAAGTGCAGTTTCATAAATTGAGCGTTTATATAAATAAGTACAAAGAAGCCTTAAGGAATCGCATAATCCAAAAACGTTTGGCGCCATAGAGTTGTTTATCGGATTCGATGATAAACTGACGAGCATAAAGTAAACCATTGACTGAAATAAAACCCAAAGGGAGTCCATCAGATCGATCCAAGCATACTCGCAAGCAATATGTCTAAGCATACTCGCAAAATTGAAACTGTGAGATGAGTTCCTTTTTTAATATATTTTTTATTTTTCATTTTTATAAAAAATCCTTTGTGTAATCACCTGTTCATTGACATTTTTTAGACATCAAACAGATTATATCTGTTACAGATAAAACCAGCAAAAAGATATGGGGCAAGGGCTTTGATGAAAAGTCTATTCTATGTTTCCCCGTGGGTTCCTAAATTCAGTTATTGTGCTAAAGACGTCTTTTTCATGATTTTTCCTGACGAATGGCATTTATAATACGTAATTCTTAAATTAATAATTCTTTCGATCAACTTTCTATTACAATTCCTCCGGGTTTTCTTTTCCTTTCTTTTATAAAACTTGAGTAACGTTCAGCGTTACCTATAAGAAGCGGACATTAACAACCCAAAACAGGTTTGCCTTCAAATAACAGGATAGGCAGAAGTGGGCTCACATGAGCTGAAAAAGTTGTATAAAAAACCACTTTATGTTGACGGTTTAGGAACAATAGTTTCGTGCCATTTGAAAACCCTAACAAGAAAGGAACTTTATAGAGCCCCTTTCCTAAATTCCAGATTCATGCACTTATTGTATAGTGTCTTTTAAGCGCAACAATGAGAAAACTCTGACTTGAAATTTTGTGAGTTATTTCCTTGTAACTCGTTGGAAAACTCACAGGAAGATTCAAGGTGTCATATCGCTCCGATTTGTATCAGAAAAATGAAACACGAGACAAAATCAAGCTGCGGGAAATGTTCTTAGTCTGACTTTGATTAAATCCGTCTTATTTGAGAACCGAATTTAGGACTTAGTAACAAAAATCGCTCTTCTGAAAAACAGCATTTCCTGGACTAAGATCCCTCTCTCCGGACACGTATTCTTTCGAACTAGGAGGAACAGGAATAGTTTCACCCGTTACATTGAGTTCCCACGCTTAATCTCGCGAGAGACGTGCGAGAATATTTCAGGAATCAGCTCCCCTAAAAAATGCCCAATCTATTCTCGGCCACGGGCGGGTGGGGAGGGGGGGGCGGGACAACGAACGAACGGACAAGGGATAGGACAGGTGCAAATATTTGAACTCTTCCGAAACGACGTTGCCAATGCCAGCGGATGAGCCTCGCCGGATATTGCGGGGGTGCAGGCTGCAGGCAGTCGTTGGAAAATCCATTGAGTTTCCGGGGGGAAAAATGATTCCCACTTCGGATCATATCATCAAACGGAACTGTGACGACCAAAAAGGTTTAAAAATTTAGTTGGAAACCTCGGGTCATGGCCTCATGGGGGAGCACTCTGAAACCATTTATAAACAAAAAACGCCCTAAAATGTCGAGCTGAGCTGGAGTTGTGGCAGTTCGAAGTTTACGGTTCAAAAAACGTGATTTTGAGAAAAAGCTATTTGAAATTCCTAACTGCCATGCTTAGAACACGAAACCGTCGGATGGGACTTTACCTCCTACATTTGGACTACATTTTGCAATTCGAAACTATAAATTCTAGCCCGGTTTAAAAACAACGTATGTGCCATTAGTTTCCCTATGCACATAAGTGTTTTTCCAGAAGAGCCAGAATTCATAGTTCCAAATTGCAAAATGCAGTCCATTTGTACAAAATACGTTAAAAAACGATCTTAATTTATTGTTTAGGACGCCATAAGGAATCCGTCGAAATCTCAAAATCCTACTGTACGACCCTACTCAACAGAAGTGGCTTTACTAAAAATTTGGGTTCTGTGGACTAAGAGTCATGTTTCCGTCGACAGCAACAATTTGATAAAATGACGCACAGAGAACGTACGTCAACTAAAAGTTTCAGCGCTGGAGGGGCTATAATTGCATTGCAAATTCTCTGTCGACAATGCATTAATTTACTTAAGAGCAGTTGCGAATTTCTTTCGAATTTTTTTTGCGAATTATTGATGTAATTCAACGAAATTCCTCCCAAATTTTTTCTTTTTAACAAAAATGCTCCCATTAATAAAGGAAGGGATAAGTTGCAGGTGAAACTTCGGAACGTTACAATGTAATTAACTTATCTGGCTCTTACTCCTTCAACTGGTTTTCCAATAACCAAGACGTTGGCAGCAATGCGACGACTCCATCTCATTTTATCGGCGAATATTCATGGACCTGTCCGTACCCGTTCCCCGAGTCCCAGGCATTTCAAAAATAAATCCACCCCGGTTGCCAATCAAGGAGAGAGGTGTCTCCAGACACTTCGCAAGAACAGACTTTTTTATTGGATCCGGCAAACGTTAGGGCGGTATTTTTCCGCTCCCGCCCCTCCTCCCCATTCGCCTGGCTCGCCACTTTATCGCGAATCCCAATATCCCCAATGCGCTCACGTTTTTTACGCATGCACTGGAGCGTAGTTACCAAATTCTCCTGAGAAATTAGGACTTTCCCCTATTTGAAACGGTGTAGCACGGACATTATTTCACGCCTGGCAACCGTGCGCTGAAATTTTCCCGCGAGCAGAACCGGAAATCCATACGATTCACCGCAAACATTTGAAGAGTGGAAATTCAAAATCTGGTACCTAAGCGTCAAACGCGGAACAAAATGTTTCTATGTACCAATGATATGTTTGATTTTGAGCCATTCCTCGTATACAGTGCTAACCATGATTATATTAACTATTTGTTTTAATAGCTTAATTTTTTTCGTATCCTTGAAATGACTTGATTTTGAAAGAAAGAAAAAAGCACCCAGCATATATTGGCGTCTAAGTGTACTATTCGCGTAATGCACTGGGAAGATCTAATTCTACTCCATAGGAGGTTGGGATATTAGACTGAGGTTTACGCACGGTAGTAAGTAAGCCAACAGGAACGGTAAATACTTTTTCCAGTAGAAAAGTACATATTTGAAATACATTTTTGAGATGTTTGATTCAATTTTGCGAGTATGCAAATGTTATGATGGCGCTGATTCACAAAAAATTCAAGTTTGACTTGAATTTAAATTCTATCCTTGGCATCACTAGTTCTTTTAAGATCATTTATTTTTTATTTCCCTCATGCTCAAAAGTAAATCATCCTACATACAGGCAGAACTGTTTGAACTCATGCTTATTTTGGTATTTATTCACACACTTGAATCTTTGATCGGCAGAGGCGCCAAGGCGGGGGAAGGGGAGGGTGAAGACACATCAACTGCCTTTTCCCGTGTATGTTAAATTAAACCATTCTTTGGACTAATGTTGGGAACTTTCATAACCAGGGCATCTTTTAATATTTTCTGAGATCTTGAATGGTTTCATCACCCTCAAAAAATTTCTACCCCCGTGTTCAACCGGCGTTGCGCCTCTATCAATCGGTAATCCTTAAACTGATCACAGTGATCGCGCATTACGCTGAAGGAGGTCCACTTTGTCGTTTCCTGGACGAAAGCACGAAACTCGATTCCAAGTTTGCAGAATTGGCTCAAATAATTCAATTTTTTATAAGTATCGACTGGGAAACGACAAATTTCCCCTTAGATTTTCGATAAGATACAGAGCTACTTCATGGTGTAAGACCTGACATATGCTCTCGTCCAACGTTGGAGAGCTGCAAGAGGGCTCCGCCTGACCGAAGTTTGCCTTTTGACCTGGCCGGTCACAAAGGCCATGGCTCTTCACAGCGCGGCGGGTGGCCCAATCAGGACACCAGGAGAGTGGTCCGCGGAGGATGGCTCATCGAACTTCAGGTGAGTCTCCGTGGTCCGCGAAGAATGGCTCATCGAGCTTCCGGTGAGTCTTATGGTCCGCGAAGGATGGCTCATCGGAATTACGGTGAGTCTTATGGTCCGCGAAGAATGGCTCATCGAGCTTCCGGTGAGTCTCCGTGGTCCGCGAAGAATGGCTCATCGAGCTTCCAGTGAGTCTTATGGTCCGCGAAGAATGGCTCATCGAACTTCCGGTGAGTCTCCTTTGTTAACACCGGCGGAGCACTGCAGGAGTCATAAGGACGCGGTGGCCGTGAAGTTCTGGCGCCTCTTGAGCACTCTATTCCTATGGAGATCCGACTTCTGGCAGACGACGACGGTGCCGCCCTGGGTCTGTTGCTGGCATTTGTTATTCGTCCCTATCAGAGTGCCGATCATCTTCGTCACTGAGAATTTCCTAATTTTATTGGCGTTGTTCGGGTGTATGCACCTGGACTCGTTCAGTAGTACCTCGAACGCTTGGTAGATGTCGTTGCTGTTCTCGGCGACCGAAACCTCGAAGAACGGGCATCCGTTCTGGTTTGCGATGTTACGGCCTTCAGTCTCATCAACCTGAAAACAAAGATTAAAACAAAATTAGAATGGAGCATCGACGCGAAAAGGAGGAAGAAACGCAGGTGCGCAGGCATGGAAAAGTAAGTATAAGTATAGGATGAAAGAATTTCTCCCCAAAAAGGGACCATGGCCTGGAAGTTTTCCCTGATTCGTTCCAGGGTTCGCTTGCAAGGGCCAGCTTAGAGTTGCGGTATTAGCACTTCATTGAGTCATTATGCTTTCTATAATCATTTCACCGAATGTCCTTAATTATTTTTCTACTGATTACTACTCTTCATGGAGGTATTAAAACACAGGAGGATGTATTGAAACACTTTTTTTCGGCACAAATTACCTGTCTTAGGTGATCCAAGTCTGCTTTATTGGCGAGGAGAATAACGGGTGCACTACTAACAGGACGAAGTTTCTGTAAGGCGTCTATTGCGTAATGGAAAGATTCTTTGTCTGTGATTGAATATACTACGATGCATCCATCTGCCCATTGAATTGGTTCTATCGGAAAAACATCTCTCTGTAAAAAAACCAACTTCAAATTAATAATAAGCAGAAGTAAATGTTTCACATTTCAAAATAATTGGAGTACATTCCGAACACTTTTTAGGAAAATGTCTTATTGGAGAAAATCAGGGCCGGATTTAAGGGGTGGTCACATGGGCCGCGGCTCATGGCGACAAATTTTGCAATCTTTTTAATGTAGGTGTAAAGAAAAATCGGATTCAGAAAAAAAAAAAAAATTACAAACGAGAAAAGGTGACAAAATCTCTCATTTCCTGAGAGTATGTCTCTAATTTTGTCGTCTTTCTGTGATACAATAGACAGTAACTTTAATTAGTCGAGTTAAGACTAAGAGAGAAACCTAACACGGAATTTGGCCTGAAACGGCGCGGCGCAGTTACATGCCGATGATGACGAGAACTTGAGATTAAAAGGAGAAATTCTCGGCACGGCGGTCGGCATGTAACACATGCTAGCGCCTACAAGACTGCATGAATACTTCACGCATTGCGTCAAAGACAGTGCGGGCACTGCGGTTAGCAGCGGGTGGCGTGAAACGCGCCTCGGGCGTTATGCGTTACGCGTTATTCTTATGGTTTTATAGTATAGAACTAGATACGTTTTTTTGGCAAATGCAACATATACAAAAGAAGATTCAACCATTGTCACCGTACTCGAATGATATTAATTGTAATATTTTCAACTTTTAACTTTTTAAACTTGTTACTCTCTCTACACGTGAAAAAGCATTTTCTACAAACAATAAGATATGATCGGTCGCATGTAGAGGGGCAATTCGACGTCTTTCTGCCAAACGGAACTATGTGCGTTAAGACATGAGCCCTGGGACCCATTAGAATATGTGCATAACAGGGCTCACGTCATAATGCACGAAGTTCCATTTGATAGAAATACGTCCAATTGCTGAATCTCATGCGAAAAATTAGAGATTTGAGGGAGCACTCACCGTTTCTCCTGAAACATCTATGATTTCTACCTCAACGGGTGTGTTACTGATGGTCACAGTTTGTCTATACAGTAGATCTGAAACAGAACGAAGAATAAACAATGTTTATAAATATCGAATTAGGTAACCACTGAGCGCACTTAAAGGTTTATCAGAACTATGAAAAACCGTTTTCCAGTTAACACGTTTTGCTAACTGAAAAATAGATTTTCCTTACTTCAATGTACTCGATATTTATATCCCGTGAACAAAAGCTGATATCGAAAGAGATGTCATCGGAACAAACTCATTCTCGTACAAAATACGGTGTAATGAGGTAAAAATGACTGCAGACATTATATCGACGGTGAAACTACCAAACCACGTATCTCGTTTGCGGTGTTTAAAAATCTCCGCTCGCATTTTATTTTTTTGAAGGAGACCAAATCAATATCATTCCTTGAAATTTTCACAGAATTTTCTCCGCACAAAGAGGAAAAATCACAGAAATTTTCAAGACTAGACGTTAAGTAGTTTTTTATTTAAAAAATAAAGTATGACAGGAAGTCTGCGACGTCGCAAACCGAGATACGTGGTTTGGTAGTTTCACCGTCGATATGAAGCATCAGAAATGTCTTTGCAAGCAGTAAGGGTGCTTGAATGTGTAAACACGATGAAATCTATTTCCAAATATCCTACCCTCGCGATGAAAAGCACTTAAAGAAAGTGTAAAATGAAATTCAGGAGGGTGCGAGGAAAGTGCCTAAAAATAGGACCCACAGTTCGCCCCGTGACTGACTTATCATAAGGAATTTTGTAAATGATCTGACACGTCACACTGAGTTTCTCAACGTCCGCCCATCGTCTAATCATTGAATGTGAGCCCGCTCGATGAAGGCTTGTCAATATATCACCAGAAAGGAATTCGGCTGGGGACCTTAAAGGCGAAAAATAAATACAAACGGAATTTTGCCTACGCAACCAAGCTGAGGTAGGTATTGGTTAATAACCAAGTCTCATATTTAAAAAAAGCTTCTGGATTTGTGCTGTGCAGAGTCTAAGTGAGTATGATTACCTGATGAAAAGTCAATATTTAGGAACGGGTCTCGGGTTAGGAAGTAAGTACCGTTTTTCTTCATCCCACGTGACATTCCATTTCTACGATATTTAGTTATTAATTTCCGAAACTGTGACCATTTACGGGACTAAGGACCGTTAGTCACAAAAACACGACATTAAGTAATTTAATTAGGCCTTGGAGAAGTTTTCTGTCAACTTTATGGGGAAAAACGTCCGCAAATTTCATATTAAACCGGGGTAATGGGTGTCTTAAGGTTGCTCGTTAAATACTTAATCTCGAGAGAGGAAACTATTTCAAATTTTAATTTTTCTGAGTATTCAAGGCACAGCTTTACTGGACCTTAATTCAACAATACACTTTTTTTGGGTACTAAATCGATCGCAACTCTGGAGAACACACATTGATTGATTGATTGTTCGTGGATTCTTTGAACACTGGAGAAAGTGACCCATTGAAATTTCAAAATCCGATTCTTCGACCCCTCTCTACAATTGGACTTATTTTTTTTCAAATTTAGTGTATCTTGATGGTTATTCACGAGGGACGCGGGTTTCTAGGAGCCGTATATTTGTTGTGAGCGCCACGTCGTCAAACTATTGTCACGAGTCGAAAACGCCTTCAGTTTCGAGCGATACTATATCGCTTACACCGGAGTTAAAATATTTGTATCATGAATTGTCGTGCAGAATCCTTAACTTTTCAAACACTCATGGATTAGATTGTCTCTCATTTAATCAGGAAAACCTTCAGAGTTACGGTTTAGCATTATTTAATTGTACATCGGAAATATTGCGTTCGTAGAGTTAAGTCTCTTTCCCTCACGCACCGGAACGCTGGCTAAACCCCCCCCCCCTCTAATTGCGTTACGTAATACTTGAACGGTCCTTAAGCTAAAAATGAAAGAACATTTCTTGGCCCCAAATTTAAGAATCACCTTGAGCCAGGCACTTTTCCTCTCAGTATTGAGAAGCGATCATTGAACTCTGAAATCTGAAGATCCGTTTAACGTAGGTACGGAGTAGAAGTTACAGCAGAGGCGCGAAAGACCCTCGAGCTATGGAGCAGGGGTGAGAGGGTAAGTAAGCTCGTTGTGCGCGGAGACTGGCGGACTTTCCATTGATTAATTTTAAATTGCAGAGGCGGATGGATGGCGAGTCGATCGGATTTGGCTCGAACAGTCACTCGCTTGATTTGAGTGGAATGTGGGCCACGCTTGTTAGCCACCACTCTCCTCTCCGCAATTTTACACATGTGCGCTCGGTTCGAAGATTGTCCTCCCATCGATTTTTTACACGTGTTAAAGTCTCGCGTGGACGACCCCCCTTATCTTCAACCTTACGGCCAAACTGTACAACCACGCATTTCATGAATTCGTCTTTTCAGAGATATTCATTCATGCTTTTCGTTGGAACAGCCGATTGAGATTACTTTGACCCCCCACTTTTTTACACCAACCTTACGGCCAAACTGCTAAACTGCACAACCACGCATTTCATAAATTCATCTTTTCACAGATATTCATTCATGCGTTTTGTTAGAACAGACAATTGAGATTACTTTGACCCCCTACTTTTTTACACCAACCTTATGGCCAAGCTGTACAGCCACGCATTTCATGAATTCGTCTTTTCACAGATATTCATTCATGCTTTTCGTTGGAACAGCCGATTGAGTGTACTTTGACCCCCTACTTTTTTGCATATCGACGGTGTAAGTCGGTGATAACTCGGTTTGCGACGTCGCAGACTCCCTGTCATACTTCATTTTTTAAACGGAAAACTAGTCAACGGTAATTTTTGAAAACTGCCGTAATTTTTCCTCTCTGTGCGAAGAAAATTCTGCTAAAACTTCAGGGAATGATGTCAGTTCGTTCTCCTTTAAAAATAACACAGAGGCGGAGATTCTCAGACACCGCAAATGAGATATGTGATTGCCGACTTACACCGTCGATATGAATGAAACTTTGAGCGAGCTCCTAACTTTTTTCATGCGTCCGATTTTTTTTAAAAATAAGGGTAGGAATTCTTTCAAGCGCTCAGCTGATCGGGAATGCATTTTCATTTCAACCTGCCTTTAGAATTCTTGACAGTGCGTTCAAATGGCGCACCAGCTCAAAAACAAGATGGCGGAGAGGGGTGTATTAATCTGTGATACATTTAATGCTTCTGATGTTAAAGCACGGAGGACGGTAATTGTTTTTCTATTTTTTTAGGGGCAGTATAGTTTGCTCAAAGTCGGTAGCTGAAATTTTAGTGAGAGAGTTCTTACACCTCGGCGGTGCTCATTTTCTTCGGAGAGTCCTGCTTTCAAGTGTTTTACCTCCACTAATTTTCAGGCTCTCTCTTTCCTGATCATATTTTCAGGTTATGATATTTCAGTATCTTAAATTACCGTATTTTAAAATTTTTACACGCATCATTTTTGAGCAAATTTCACATATATTTTATGTGAGAAATCCGAGAGTAGGTTTTCTAATTCGCACATATTTTTTTTTTTTTCCTTTTCATCTTTTTTCTACGTCCAACATTAGTGGTTATAAATGAAGGAAAAAAAAAATACTAAGGAGTGGCCCGAACTAATTTGACTCTAATTTTAATTATTTGAACTTCTTGGCTTTGTTTTCCCCGCGAAATGGTGTGGACCCAGCACCATTTCTCCACCTCGTTATTAGTGGTTATATTAGCAACCGCGGTTGATTCCAACCGCAATAAAAAATTAAACTCGTCGAATTCTCCGTCGTTTGTAGAGCGATAAAGTTTGAACGGGGAAGCGAATTTTAAGAATGAAGCAGAGCCGAGCTTCCGGGAAGAGATCAAGGCCAAGGGAGAAGTTCTGCGACGTGAGAACTTGCATTCATCTCGAGATTCCCGCCGAATGATGGGCGCGAGATTATGATTTCGTCGCGGTGGCGCGGATGGCGAGGAACTTAAACCCCTCCCTCCCCCCCCCCTCCTGCCCCTTTCCCCGTCCCTGGAGTGCGGAAGGGCTAGCGCCCGCAATAATAAACAAATGGACGTATTTCTGCCAAACGGAACTCTGCGCATTATGGTGTGAGCCCTGGTGCGCATATATTCTTGTGAGTCTCAGGGCTCACGTCTGGATGCAGATAGTTCCGTTTGGCAGAAATCGTCCAAATGAGGGAACGCGTTGACCACGGAGCCAGGCTCACTAAACTCAGCCTCACTCCACGCCGATCTGAGTCTGAGGTCGCCGATGTTTTGGTCCTGTGCCGAGTTTAGATCATTATCATGTTCGTGACGCCTCCAATTAGGTCGAAAATTCACGCATCGGCGAGCACCACTGGACGCTCACCCGTGCTCGAGTGGTATTTCCTCCAAAATCGACAGTTGTACCTCGCTGAGTTGAATAAACGATTGGGATTCGGAATCATTGATTGATGCCAGAATATTCATTGATGAATTCGGGGGTACGTAAATTTAAACAATTTTTATACTACAGGTCGGGGGCGGTCTGGTGGGAGGTGCTTTGGTGCTTCAGCACTCCAAAATTCTGACGGGTGGCTCAGGGAACCCGGCAGGACCCTGGACTTCAAAACTTTACATGGACTTTAGGGATTTCAAAAACTTGAAAAACCCGGCTGAAGGAGGACTTAAAGTTAGTTAGGGGGGCCTCACCCGAGAGGAGGAGCCCCCAAAACGCATTACCACATCAAGAATTTTCGACACTGTGGCGCTACAGGTAGCTCTTGCTCGAACTATCATTCACTAAAGATACTTTTCATGTGGTGGTAAAATCGGACTCTGACAGTTTTAATGAGTAAAATTGTCCTGAATTAGACAGACTTAGAAAGAGAATAAAAAATAAGAAGAAGAAAAAAAAATACCCTTGGTCCAATGGATGAAGTGAAATGCACTTCATAACAGCCTCGCGTCCAGGTATTTTATTCGTTCTTCGCCAACTTTGCGATTAGAGTCGAAAATGTTTGATACAATTATTTTAACCTATAAGTAGCCCAAATTGCATAGCCGTTGCATTGAAGGCGAACTGAGTTTCTTGCTCTCGTATCGTCTCGCGTAGACGCATATAAGTTGTTCGGACTGAGACTAGTATGGCATGTATCGTATCAAGTATAAAAATTTAGTAGTAATATGATAAATTCTCATGCCATATTTCAGCTTTTACCTACATCAGATACACAATGAACGTCCCTCCGCAAAACGCACATAACCTAAAAATTAACGTTACCGGCAAGTATTCCTCAAACTCCTGCACGTCTACGTTCAATTTGTATACCTAGATTGTATAATTTTAAAATTGTCGCTACTTTTTTCCTCCCTTTTCCGTCTGTTCTTCATTTTTCAAAGGAATATTACTGGGTATTTTCGCAAAAAATATTTCGAGTCTATTTTTTCAGAGCATATCGACGGTGAAACTACCAAACCACGTATCTCGTTTGCGGTGTTTAAAAATCTGTGCTCACATTTTATTTTTTTGAAGTAGACCAAATTAATATCATTCCTTGAAATTTTCACGGAATTTTCTCCGCACAAAGAGGAAAAATCACAGAAATTTTCAAGACTGGATGTTAAGTAGTTTTTCATTTAAAAAATAAAGTATGACAGGAAGTCTGCGACGTCGCAAACCGAGATACGTGGTTTGGTAGTTTCACCGTCGATATTCTGAAAAATTTCAAAATAAAGCACTTAAAATCGTGTGATATACAATGATCGCGATGATCCTCCAGTTATGTAAAATACGACAGACAATCTTCAACCTCTGAAACTGAAATATGTGCTTTCCTCCAACATAGATGCAAATCGACGGTGTAAGTCGGCAATCACATAACTCCAACTAATGCGTTGGAGCTTACTGCTTGTTTTACATATCGACGGTGTAAGTCGGTGATAACTTGGTTTGCGACGTCGCAGACTTCCTGTCATACTTTATTTTTTAAACGGAAAACTACTCAACAGCAATTCTTTGAAACTGCCGTGATTTTTTTTCTCTGTGCGAATAAAATTCTGCGTAAACTTCAAAGAATGATGCCAATTTGTTCTCCTTTAAAAAAATAACACAGAGGCGGAGATTTTCAGACACCCGCAAACGAGTTATGTGATTGTCGACTTACACCGACGAAATATATTCGCGACTCCCGGCATTCATTGACGAGGGTGTTCCTATGAAATTGGACCTTCATTTTTGAAATGCAATGCAGAGCTACAGACGATTTCGATTTAGACTGGAAGTAATAAACGATTTAATGGACATTGTAGCACCTTCAAACGTCATAATTGTCGGGGCAGCAGCTTTCCGTACTTCTAAGTCTTTACATACCAAGCATCGCCAATGGCCCATGTTAGACTTGTCTCACTAACACTAGCAACCCCAGACCTTCCAAACGATGCTTCGATGGTGTTGATCTGCTCATGGCCTCTGCACTTGATCCAAGTAATTTTTCTGCCACGCGTTCTGTCGCGATGCGTCATCGAGATTCCATCCGCGGGAGGAGTGGCGCCCGGGAGATTAAAACCGTCGCGTCCGCTGGCGAAAATAATTTTAAATGTGCGGAAAAAAATCGCATCCGCTCGAGACTGCACCCTCCCCCCTCTCCTCATCATAGTATTTGGTGCATTTATGAATCGTGTCTAACCGCGGGGCGCCTTGGACTCTATGGTTTGGTGACACGATATTTCATTTATCACATGTTTCACTCGCTGTCGACACCAAGTGCTCGGTGAACCGTTCTCGCAGATGCTTGGCTCCTATTATTTTCTCGGACATCATGTTCCTCTGCAGTTGAGAGAACATGAAGGTTAACATTTTTTCGCCCCATCGTGCATTCAAATGTTCATAACCCAGAAATACAGATTGGAAAAAGAAATACAACAAAATTATAAATGCGAAACAGAAACTCAGAGCAACACCGATTATTGTTTAAAAAATATGATCCTTGACGTGCACAATTCCGACATTTTGCACAGTTTGGAAATCGATGAAAAGTTATTTCCTTCCTTTTTTGGAAGGGTTTATCAGAAAAAATGTATAGGCATCTTTTCCCGATCCCTCTTGAGTCTGGCTCTAAACAAGAGAATGCAGAAGCGAGAAATTGAGTGCGCCTGAAATGCGCCGACTATGCAATCAGGGCTACTCAGGCGTTAAAATAGTTGTATCATACATTTTCGACGCCAATCGCAGCGCTAATGATGCACTAATGGGACGCTTAAGCACGAAGTTACATGAGCCTTATTTCGATTGATCATGTACAAAGGAAGAGTAGGCCTTTGTTTTTTATTCTACTTTATCATCTATTCACCAATTCTCTGCTCCCTTTTCTTTGTTTGCATTGTAGAACTGTTGCAGAGATATTTAAAACAAAATGTCGAGAAAAGTAGTATAAGAACGTACCTGTATTTGATCTATATTCGCCGATGAATCTTCGGGTCAAGTATCGCACTGTTAATGCTGAAACAGAGAACAAACAAAATAAATTAACTTTTCTCTGATGAAGAAGATAGTTATAGTTCAAGCAAACGCAACTGGCAGGGTATTGAGCATATTACGAAAAATTTTGAAAAATATTTTTGAAGGATTAAGGCACCAATTTTTTGGTTCCTCTCCAAAAAAATTACAGCGACAGAGATAGCAATAAGAATACTCGAAAAAAATCAAAGAATAGCATAAATAACTCAAAAATGATAAAAAAAAAAAAAAAAAAAAAAAAAAAAAAAAAAAAAAACAGCTTGTATATTAAATCGATGTACAAATAGGAAAATAACAAAGTTTTTATGGAGTTGTTTTCTGAGGCGACTGTATCAAGTCAAAATCTCTCAGGATTGGAGGCACTGGAGGCATTGAAGGCACAGGGGCTTAGATTTCAGCCCAAGAATGCACTCGTTGATAAATAAACACATTAGTTTTCAGGCGAAGCTTCGCAATGTTACAGGACAACTTCGGCCCCTCCGTCCCTCGCACCCATTCAGATCTCTAACAATTTTAATGTCGTCCTCTGATATTATTCTTGGTCGATCTCGATTCCAGCTCCGCTCACGCATTAATTACGTACACGACACAACGCGTAATTAAAGGATAGGCAAACCCTCATTCTGTTATTATTAGCCCCAAATGCTCATCAAGAGGCTGTTTTTTTTTTAAGTTGCCTTAAAACTGCAATTTTTCCACGTCATCAAAATGAGCAAGGATTATTTTTATCCATCCATTACTCCTTTTAAACAAATAGTGGAAATAAACCTGGGACAACTTGAAATTTTTCCGCGGACATTTGGAGAGTCCCCGATAAGTTTTGCGTTCAAATAGACTTGCAGCGTGGCGCGCGGTCTAATTTGGTCACATAAACACGGGAGGAACGGCGGAGATGAATAATACGTATCGTTTAAAACAAACATTGCGACCGACGCGCAACGGCGTTACCAAGTCGTGAAGAATTGGAATTGAATTTGGCAATAGGGAAAAACTATCTCTGGCTCTCCCATAAAAGCACATATCTGCCTAGGAAAAGTAATAGCATGTATGTTGTCTCTTGAATGGGCCAGAAATAAGGGTTTCTTATTGCAACATGTAATCCAATTATGAGCACTGGAGAAAAAAACACATTGTATCTAGAGTCCAGACTCTTGAATACATTGACAAGAAAAAATACTCTTGATTCAATCAGATTTTGTTTAAATCAAAAGGAAATCCGCTCAAATTAAGAGGCTTGGTTCTTGATCTAATCAAAAATCTGATTGAATCAAGAGTATTTTTCTTGTCGATGTTTTTAAGAGTCTGGACTCTAGATCCAATGTGTTTTTTTTCCAGTGAGTCTCCATCGAGGATCTGGTATCCGCAGCCGAATCCTGGGTAAAGAAAAAAATTTCAATTTTTTAAAATGGTCTCTTGAATCATTAACCTTGTTTTCAATTGTTATAAAATGATCGAAGAATTTGCAAATGTTTGAAATTTAATTCATTTCACCTGACAGTAAGAACTTTTGAGAGATCTGAACTGAAGTATTTCTTCGACTGTTGAATTGAACAAACATTGAAGAGAATACAGCAGGATTGTATATTCGCTGAAATATACGTATTTGCTACAGCTCTATGACATCATCTAAAGAGGCACGTTTTCCGTTTCGGGAGAAAATAGATTTAAAGTGAGACATTTTACATCCTCTTGTGACGGCGTCGTATAGAAGTTTAGAGGGCGGCATTTCCCGTTTAAACACATGTATTTTGGTAGATTAGATCATCTTTTCATGAATGTTTCAATAATTGTTCAATTTCGTAATTTAATGTTCTCATGCCCAGTTCACTCAGTAGCTTATCCATTAAATCATTTAAATGTATGAAAATTGAAGAAGTCAGATTGTAGATATTGATCTTTTCAGTCTCGCGTTGCCTCAGTGCAAGTTTGAAGTCGAAGGAGATTCTCAGTCCTCCTGAACTCTATACTCGCTACTTACTACCTTTTACTCTATATACTATATCGATGGCCAAAGTGCGAAACCATGCACCTCCATTTAAGACTTCGCAGACTTCCTGGCATACTTTATTTTTTCCTTTGAAAACCAGCAAAAGTATATTATTCTTGAAAACTATCTTGATTTTTCCTCTATGTTGGGTGACTATTCTGTATAAATTTCAAGCGAAAATTCGGCTTGTTATTCTTCGAAAATATGTAGAATAGGAGCGAAAATTTTGAAACACCGCCTTGGAGATACGTGATTCCGCACTTCCGATATTCTTAATGGATGTTTTTATTTTGTCCAGTACTGGCATCGTCATATTTTCTGTAATTTGTTACCGATGATTAAACTTGTTAGTTGTTTTTTTTTGTCTGATAATTTATTGTTCCGTTTCTTTTCCACCGTTGTTAATTGATCATGCTGTCTCTTTTCCTTATCGTTTTGTTATTAGGACAACATGTTGGAATCGAAAATAACATACATTTTGGATACCTGCAAATTCTCCATCAGTCCAAACTTATTCCCTCATTAATTAAATCCTCGGAGCGTATTTTCGTCTTAAACGATCGTGTTGTTGTGGCAGCGAGAGACGCAGATCGTAGAACTACTGCAAACGTATTATATTCGGACCTTGGCCAAATATTTGTCCCAGAGTGCGTGCGCCTCCGGGGGGCGCCGGGGGGTACCGGGGGCGGGGCGGGGGGAACTTATTTGTTTTGTTTAGTCTGTTTAGTCGTTCCTCCTCACCCGAGCTTCTCAATTATCTTTCTCCATCTCCTATTTTCGCAATTTGTCGCGCGACGCCCGACACTCGCCGGCGACTTGTCACCCGACCGACGCACAATGGATACAGTCAATGGGGGATGTCGGACAAAATTTCGAAACTTTCAAAGCTCATAACTCCGTTAATACGAAATTTTAGGTTTTAAAAGTGGTTCCATTGATTTTCTCGTGAAATGGAGATGTTGCATGTGTGAGGAATTTGCGCTTTGACTGTTGATTCCTATGTAAAAGTTCGCGAGAAACACGATGGTGCCACTGGTTTTCTCTGGAATCAACTCCCAAGCTCAAAAAAGCTCTCAAATTGAGGCCAAAATGGAGGGGATATCCCACGCTATTCTGAGAGTCCACCTCTACATCAAGACAAACTCTCCGTGCAAAGATAGGGAGCAAATACATTAGCAGGGTTGTCGTGTTTTCAGTTTTGGAGTCCCCAAATAAAGTGGCAACCCTGCTAATGTATTTGCTCCCTATCTTTGCATGGAGAGTTTGTTTTGATGTAGAGATAGACTCTCAGGGTCAGGTGGGATATCTCCTCCATTTTTGCCTCAACTTGAGAGCTTTTTTTGAGCTTGGGAGTTAGTTTTAGAGAAAACCAGTGGCACCATCGTTTTTCCCCGCGATTTTTTACATAAGAAACAACAGTCAAATCGCAAATTCCTCACACATGCAACATCTCCATTGTCCTCCATAAGCACCGCTTAAAATTTAAAATTTGACGATTTAAACATCAAAATTTGCGATTTTAGTTAAAAATGTCGTGTCCGACCTCTCTGATGGACTCGATCCACTGTGCGACGGCCTGCAACGGCCTTGATGTAAAGGAGACGGTCCCAGATCGACAAAACAACGTAACTGTAATTTAAGAAAAATCTTGTCGTACGTATGACTCCACGTTCCCCGCGGCTCGAGTGCGGATGGAGTTGCGTTCTCTCACGATGACGGCCACGTCACGTCAACACCGAGGTGACGCGACTTCCGCGGCCGGACGGGTGCATCCTATGCTCCTAAAATACACCAACCGCTGGACCCGACCGGTGCAATAACACATCGAGTCGCACCGGGTCAAAATAACCGGGAAAAGCAAGGTCAAGCCTCCCGCGCTCTTGAAAAACACCGCATGATGAATGGAAAACTGCAGAAACGCGTATCTTCCTTCGCGACGCTACGAACTGACAGCGGGAATTTATTTGTTTGAATTGGATGTATTTCTACCAAACGGTACTATGTGCATTAAAATATGAGCCCTGAGACCCCTCAGAATATATGCATAACAGGGCTCACGTCATAATGCACTTAGTTCCGTTTGGTAGAAATACGTCCAATTGAACATGACTCAAAGTCATTTCTTGGTAACTTCCCTTATTTTTGTTCTATGCCTCGATGGCAAGGAGCGATTACCGGCAATGGAGAAATTGCACGTACATTTTTATCACTTCAGTCGAGAGAAAGAGCTGATATCGCAGTATTTCTTATATATTTTGTCGTGTATGGGAAATGGCTTAAAAATAGATTTCAAAGCGAGAACTGCCCCATACCCCGCCTGGTGACGCCGACCGGTGGCATTTCCAATTCAAACACTTTTTCACGCGAATTTCATACCTTCCACAATAGGTGCGTACACACAATACCGGCACATTGCCGGTAACTACTTTTTGCCTGCGGCACATATGGGAGACATGAGGAACACTCTGTGAAAATTTCAAGCAAGGATACCAGGATGAACACAAGTCGAAGTGGTTTAAGCGCAGTGTTAGTATTTCCGCCGTTTAAATCCATCAAAAATATCGATATCAGGCGATAGAAGCAACTACGATATATATCGATCGTTTTGCAAACATTTAAGTGGACCTAAACTAGTTTGCTTAACTTGCGAGAACCGACCCGACAGCTGCCTATAAAACATCGATAGTGTTGAAATCTCTATGAAACAGTGGTAGTTAGTGTTTCTTCGAACCGCCAAAAGCCACTTTACAGTCTGCTTATCAAATTAAAGCGTCAATCTTTGGCTCTTGTCAGCCGGAAAATGGGAATTCTTTAGAAAAGGCCTGCTGTCGCGCCGCGTCAGCGATAAACGAGTTATCAAAGTCACTCGTGTTAAACTCACTTCATCCAAAGGTGTAAATGCTTACTATTCGATAGGTCGTGCGAAATTTCCATGCGAGATATTTCATCCCAGGGAAATTAATGACGTATTGACCTTTATCACGAGAACATGTCTGAGCCTCCCGAGTTCCCGGAAACCAGTCCCGACTATTCAAACCGAATTATTATGTTCGGAAGTGATTTCATTATTCATCTCTTAGATGAGATTCTTCGAAAATATGACGATTTAAACGAGGATAAACAAAAGAATTACTTCCACAGTCTGAGCTGATAAGCGCAACAAAGAAAAAGGACTAGTAGCGCTAAAAGATCTCCTGGCTAAGTACGTAATGATCATCAGGAAATCTAGTAACCGATTTTGGGTTTTCGGCTACTTTCAACAAAATATAACTATGAATAAAGAAGGGTTGCTGAAAAACTTACCAGATTTGCCAACGTTTATTTTGCCGAGAACGGCGATCCTAACTCGGGGTGCATTCGCACCCCCTCGATCCTCCGTTTTCATATTGAGACCTGCAAAGAAAAAAAAATCATTAAGATGTCATCAGAACAATGATACATATTTTTGAGCAAACAAATAGTTGAAGCACAACAAGCGTCATATAAGCGTTTCATCAACGCTGAAATTAATAAAAATAATGAATCGAAAAAAAACCCTAAATAGTTACAAAACAACTATTTTTCCTTCTCCTTCTTTTTCTTAAAAAAAAGAAAGAAAAAAAATATCACAAGAAAAATACGCATCAGACGAAAGAAAGAAAGAAAGAAAGAAAGAGAGAAAGAGAGAAAGAATAAGTTGTTTTCGTTTGTTTTCACAGCTAATTAGACATTTATAACCAAAATTTATGGAGAGCATTCTAAAACGCGAAGATCAATCCCACGAACTTTTGTAGAGTGATGATGCCCCTTCATCTTCAAAGTATTAAAATGAGACAAGAAATATTCAACGCCACAAACCGAGAAAAGAGGCTTTCCAATTGACCATCGATTCGTAGTTCCTCTATAGTACAATAAAACTAGTTAATGTAACCTTTGAGTACGATGACAGAGCCCGCTCGAAGTCTTGCTTTGAACCGATGGGAAAATCACCCTTCCAAGTATGAACGATAACTATTCGCGCTCCCGGGAGATGATTTCGCCTAACCGCTTGATTGAAGGCGCATGCCCGTCTTTCGATTACTCTTTCAATTTTCCATAAGATTAGTTTGTGCCACATGATGAATATTCGTTGAAACATGAATTGCAGTGCAAGTTCGAAGAACTAACGAAGCAGAATTGCTAACGGCGAGACGGTTAATAATAAACTTTTACCGGAAATGAAGAAAGCGCACGACTATCGGTTCCGATTATTATGTAATGGTAATGCTTCACGGAAACCGACCGACTTTGTAAATCGATTCGTTGGAGCCCCGTAGCTCACGGAGGCACGTGAATGTAATTTGACTCATGCAAAAGATGCCCGATCGATATTCAAGTATTTCAAAGAATTACTGCGGAGAAAGGTTCGCGTGGGGGCAAAGGCGGCAATTATTAACCCTCTACTGCATCGCGTAGCCATATGGCAACAGCAATTATTTAATTCGTAGTAAATTCAGGAATGCTCATATTGGTACCCTGTGTGGATTATAGGGAACTCAACCGCATTACCAACCTAAAAAAAATTGTGGTGGGGGGAACTGAAGCTGCCAAATCAACTAAATAATCATGTTTTTCCAACGGGACCATTTTTGAGGAGTAGCCGCGAGGAGCCAAACTTTGAAGGATGTTTTGAATGACTTGGCTTGCCTTCAGAGACGGGGAAAAAATCACAGTTATGGCCCATACGGTCTAAATTGAAAATTTCCTGGTCCGATGATAATAAAAACAATTTAAATATTATTTTCGGCTCAAAAACGGCAAGATGCCATATGGCAACAACATACCGGCAAACTTCTGGCCCAACACTTTTCCTGTTGCCATATGGCAACAACATACTGGCTCCGATGCAATCATGTGTCGTGCTGTCCAAAAACGGAGCTTACAATTCATCATTAGATGCTTTTTGAATTTGGTAATGTTAGAAGAATCAAAAAAACTTTTTTTCTTAGTTTTTTTTCCAAAAGTCCCGCACAAGAGTTATGCCCTGGCATCACCATTCCACTCCTGCACTGTATGTTGTTGCCATATGGAAACAAGTGGATACTCTGGCAAGAAATTACTACATGTTGTTGCCGTATGGCAATGAGCTTTTTTAAGCTTCAAAAGTTAAAGAAAAAATTGAAATTTCAAAAAAAGCTCAAAGACGTGTCTTTTTAATTACATTTTACTATAACATATATTTTTTTCATCAAAATCGGCGTCGCAAAAAAATTCCATGCAGTAGAGGGTTAAATGGCTATGGACCTGAGGGACATTGATGACAGTCTTTACTTACAAAATCGCGTATCTTATTTTCCGACGAAGCGGCTTTCCTGTTACGCTTTATTTTCTCTTGATTACTAATCTTCTTTATTAGATTAACTTTTATACGAATATTCCGTGCCTTTCAAAAAATATTCTCTGAAATTTTGGGAAAAAATGTCCACTAATATTCTTTAAAAAAATTAATGTAGACAAGAGATTTTGAAACACCGAGGTAGAAATTTGTATTTCCTTAGCTTCACTATCAAATGGACTATATTTTTCAATTAAGAGCTACAAAATCCCGGCCCGATTTAAAAATAACGCATGAGCCATTAAATTTTCTATGCAGATACGTGTTTTTTCAGTTGAGACAGAATTTATAGCTCCAAATTGCAAAATGCAGTCCAAATTGTGATCTACACATCGATGGCCAAAGTGCGAAACCACGTATCTCCGTTTGCGACGTTGCAGACTTCCTGTCATACTTCATGGTTTCCTCGAAAAACTAGTCAACTTAATTAGGTAACTGAAAACTTCCTGAATTATTTTTCTTTATTGGCAGAATATTCTGTAAACAATTCAAGCTATGAAGTTGGCTTGTTTTTTCTCGAAAAAATCAAATAAACGCGGACATTTTCAAACATAAGGATAGAGATACGTGGTTTCGAAGGGTAGTCATCTATATGAGTCTCTGCTGTCTTCGTATCTACGAATGATTTAGATTTTTACCGACCGACGCAGTGAATCTGAAAACTCGTGTATCTTAATTTGAAACGTTGCGAATTCCCCGTCGCGTTTGAAATTGTCAAAAAACTGATTGATCAGCGTTGTCGCGTAAAAAGTGACGCGGTTCAGTATGTAAAAATTCCGTACAAAAAAAACAAACAAAGGTGAGCTAAAATATTGTAGCATTGCAGCGGAGATAAGTGGTTTTGTGGTTCCACTATCGCAGTGCACTTCCATGTTAACGGGAAAATATCAATTTATGTAAATTCATCGTAATTTTCTGTGCGGATATTCACTGGTTGACGGATCAGGAGATTGTTTTCGATGGAACCGCGCTCTTAGCCCCCCTAACCTCTCAGGAATCCGGAAACAATATGAGAATCGGTTTAATTAATTCTGCGATTCCGAGAACAGGGATCACCTTCGTCCTCATCCTCGAATTGAAGATGAATATTTAAGTGCAAGCGAGGAAATTGAAGCGAAATTGAAGCAAATCTCTCTGATTGCCAGGTTTACGGATGATTAAGCAAAAATTAGTCAAAAATCTCATGTCGGGACCCATCCGAGGGCAACATCGCTCACGTCTAGAGTTAAAGGGGTGGGGAGGGGGGGGAGCATAGAAAGCGAGGTTTAGGACTTCTTTAGGGGCTTTGAACCTGAACGACAAATAGCAGAACACGATTACACCTAAAGTGATGATCGAGGTCGTTCAACTGAATTCCATACAGCTCCGAAAATTAATCAAGGATCACGGAGCATTGACTCAGTTTGCGTTTATAGCTCCCTTTTATTTAGTGAAAGGTCAAAACACCTGAGTTCAGTTACCGGCTGTTAAATGCAGCACGCTGCACGCACCGCTGAACATCCATTAGTCAATATTAAAGCAGCTGGATTAATTATTTAAGTTTCCGAAATTCGCCCAGCCGGAGGACGAAGAAGAATATCTCCCCTTGCTATCTCCAGATTTCGATCTATCGACTCCTCGAAAATTAGGAATCTCATGTTTAAAGAGAAGGAATTTTTCAAAAATAATGAGCGAAAATTCATTTTCTTATGTACAACGTATTCATGAGCCGCTCGCTTTTGGTCCGAGGAATTTTCCTGATGCTATGTTTTGGAGTGATAAACATTTTAATGTCCCCTAGCAATGAACAAATGAAAAGCATTTGGTCCTCCAAGCTACGATATCTCGAAGCGCCTTCATGATTCCGTGATACTCCACGCTTTGTCGCGGAGTTAGTTTAGTTGCCCAAACCTAACTGCATGCACTTTGCCTCGGTGAGAGGAAAGGGCGCGAATCAGAGACAAAATCATGTGTTTGTTTACATTTGAACCATGACGTATCCACTAAATCAGTCTATTCACATTGATCTGCCGTCGCCGTGGTGCGTGAAACCGTTGTATTATAAATGCTTCATGATATTCCACGATTATGTAAATCAGAATTTGCCTCATGTTTAAATGCAAATTCATGCCATAAACCCAGCCGACACACAAATTTGAACCCTTTTCGGGCTACTGCACGTCATACTTTTGTTGCTGAATTGGGATCGAATTTGGCATCACGTACACCTGAAAATCGGTTTCAGGACATTCCGTCAACGATTTTTTGTCCGCGCACCTCTTTTGTCCAGTAGTTTACGTCCACGCGAAAAATAAGAGTTGTGTTGAAAGAAACTATACAGCAATGAATAACAATGGGAGAAAAACCAAGAAGCAGGCAATCATTAGTTTTAACCCGTATGACTGTGTACATCGATCTTTTAGAGTCAAATACGTTTGGTTGCGCGGACACAGCGCTGCAGCACAGTAAAAGCACAAAATATAACATTAAGAAACAAGAAAACATTAAAGTGCTTTAGGGAATCATTAAATTTGACACGGAACCACCGTAATATTTACAAAACACATTTTATATTCTCCTTGAATACAATTTTTTTTTTCATCAATTTAAATGAGGAAAATCCATGCAGAGTTTGCAAAAATGTCAACAACATGACCTGAAAAACACCGACTCCGCGATTTTAAATATTGTGAGCCATAACACAGAGCGGAGCGGCTGCGGCGTGCTACCGGCGCGGAACGCGCACTATCGCCTACAAACCTAAGGGGATACTTTACGCATTGCGCCATGCTTGAAGTATCCCCTCAGGTTTGTAGGCGCCATTGCGCGTGGGGAGTTGGCCCGCCGCGCCGCAACGCGCCACGGCGCCTCAAGCGACTATTTCACAACAGAGGTGTTGCACAGTATCAAACAAAAGTGAAGGTGCTCCAACATTTTAAGAATGATGGGCATCCTTTAAGAGTACGGAGCTTTCCTCGAAAAATAAATTAAAGTACTACGGCACGAGCTCCCCTGCCGAAAAAACGCGTGGACATAAACTACTAGAAGAACCAGGCGTGCG